TATACCTTTATGTGATAAGATAAATTGTGCTGTGAAGTGCTTTCGTAGCAGGGAAAATAAAAGGATACTTTTAAAGCCATTCAGATGTTAATTACCTCTATGTTGAATATTACCCCCACGGGGAGCCTGAACTTTTAAACATACACTTTCCTTGAAAATTTTGTCAGTGGCTGATACAGCTTACATAAACTGTACTAAAAAATAACTCATAAATATAGGATTAAACTTGCAACCTAGCTTCCTCATTCAACTGGTCACCTTAAATATTTGTGAGTGGTTTGAGAATTGCCATTATCATTGGAAATGTAAAGTTAGCAGCAGCTAGCTAGCATTGTGGTGTAGTGCGTCAAACTGCTCTCTGCAATGCCAGCATCGCACATGGTCATGTTCTGCCCCTGCCAACGGCCTGGGAAAAGCTGTGTAACATGGCTCGTTTGGGATCCTGCCATCCACATGGAAGACTACAAGGAAGCGCCTGGCTACTGGCGTTGGCTTCTCCTGGCCAAGTCCTGGCTGTTGTGGTCATATGGTGCCTAGTGAACTGGTGGAAGGAAGACTGATCTCTGCCCCTAATAATAAATCTTAAAAAAACAAAAAACCCCAACAACCTGTAACTTGTTCATTACAGCCCAAAGCCAAGTGTCAAGTCTATGGAGGCTTCCCGCCTACGGTTTCAGCCATCATTACTGCCTCCACCAGGGGTGATGCTTCCTAGCAAGAAGCTGAGGTGGAGCTAGGCTTCAGCTAAACTAAACACTGCCTTAACTTCCTGGAATTAGGTTTGTTATTTCCATGAAATGGCAAATACCCACTTATATTTGCAGATAGCCTAAACAATCTGACTTAAACTAGACCTTTTGAGTAGAGACATTTTTACACTAAAAATGTTTTAATACTAAAGACTAATGGCTTGCTTTATCTGGTTAGTTTTGTCTCTGAAAATCTTCAGTATGTTGGCCTTTTCATTAGCCCATGCCATAAACTAAAAACACAGTATATGGTGTATTATTTAGAATCATGCATCAAGATGTATCATTGCACACAAAACACACACTTGTAAAAAAAAAACCAAAGTCTAAGAATTATTTCTGTAACACTGAAAACCTTATGATAAACACTGTATATTATGTCCAAAATGTTCTCATTTTCAAATAAAAGCCAGCAGTGTCTGGGTAGCTCAGGAAAATATTGATGGTCCATAAAGAAGTTATGTAAAACATAAACAATCTACCCTTCCAATAAGTCTTTCATGTTTATAACGGAAAAGATGATGGAAATGCCACTTTCCCTTATCCAAATCTCTCATTTCATACTCTTTTTCATGCTTTGTGTGTAGCAATGTAAATTTTCCCCCCAAAAAATTTGGGAGTTAAAAAATGTAAACTTTTTTTTTATTCTCATGTGGTGGATATGGGTATTCCTTCAGTAAATACAGCAACAGAACTGCTAGTTACAATTCTGTTTCTGCCATTTACTTACAAATTACTTGCCACTCTTTTATGAAAATTTACAAAGTAGTACAACAAAATTATTAAAATTTTGAGGTTCCAAGAAAAAACCATGGCATACTCAACTTTAGTAACTTCACAGTGTGTAAAAGAACAGTACCAGTCATGACTGCTTGAGAATTTAACTATTTTCCCAGCCATAATTTGTTACACTATGAATATGGAATGAATTTAGGAAGCTTGAAAGCTGAAAATTGAACTTGTGTTATTCTCCAAGAATCTATGTATACATGTTGCTTTGTAAAAGATTAAATTCAAAATACTTGAGAAATTTTAGAAACGAATATACTTTAACTAATAGTTCTGAGGTTATCTATCACAGAAAAATCATCAAAGGTAGAAAGATGTTTAAGTTCACCACAACATCATTTATATTAAAGAAACAGAAAGCTGTTAAGTGCCCCCAGTGGGAACTGATTCCATGAGAATTCATTTCCATCTGGAAAAACTCTTAAAACAATGATAACCTTCAAGACTGTCAAACCAAGACTTTGCTTTAAATTCCAAGCTTTTCTACAGTGACACAAATGGCAAATAATTTTTAAAAGATTTTAAAAGAACAAGCTCATTCATACTTTGTGGAGGTATTTCTTGGGTCAAGTAAAGACTTACATTATTCCCAGTGTTCAAGGGCTGGCTATATATATATAGACATGCATGTTTTTACTAAGTGCATTGTTACTAATAATCAAAGCTAAGACAATTTTACATTCAAATCTTTCAAGTTAGATTTTAAGACATATGCACTTCTGAAATGTGACTTTTCTTCCCCCCCACAGAATTGGCATCCCAATCAGAAGACATGTTACCACATTTAATTCACTCATACTACAGATCACAGAAGGTATATCTGCAGTGAAAATAAATATGTAATACTTATCATCCAGTGAAATTTAACATGATACGAACCTGCTGAATGTGAACAATAGGCCAAACAAGATTAGGAGGCAAAAAAAGTTCAGATGAAACTCTAAGAAGTTTGGGGGCTGTTGTGAAGGCTTTTAATGGCTTTGAGAACTGATAATATGAGCACTTCATGGTTAATTTCACTTAGGAATCTAAAGCATTCCTTGTAATTGCAGTATTTTTATACTTAAGAATGCCTGACAAATTGAAACAAAGAACAAGTTTACAGCAGTAGAGTCAGGAATTAGAAAAGGTAACGAAGATATATGTGAGATAAGGAACCAAGAACACACTGGGCCAAAACTGTTTTCAAATCAAACCGTGAGAAAGGTAGGTGAAGACAAAGAGAATGTAGAGCCATTTCTTTCTGTAAATATTTTTGAGGCTCTAACTTTCTTTTCTACAATCTATATTAATATAGCGGATATAAGAGCTTGGGAAATTTTAAAACGTTAACAACTGTTTTTAGTAAGACTATTTTATTTTCAAAATTCTCAAAATATAAAAATAATAAACATGAATATTTAACAAAACATAATTCAACTATAAATAAAAATGTTGACAATCTCACATAAATATGTAATACTATAAACACTCCAAGCATACAAGAGTAATTTTCTAGTTCAAGTTTTATCTTTCAGTTCAAGTTTTATGACCACTTTTTAAAAAATAAACAAAAAGCTGCTACAGCTTAACAAATTGCTTTTGCTCCACTCGAAGAGCAGGGAATATTTTTTCCCATGCCAACACACATTCATGAAATGGGATATTTATGGGCACAGGTATTAAAAATCCAGTCTCCAGACAAGACTCCTTTGGTGTTTTCAGATTCAAAAGTCCACAGAAATTGTGTTAAAATAAACCACTTGTTCAAAGAAATCTGGTGCTGAAGTAATTATCATACCCCAAACAAGTTTAAGATTTTTAAGAATCAAAAATAAACATCTACGAAAACTTTGTTGAGAACTGTATCCTATGAACATTCACTTGGGTGCTGGAATGAAATCTTGGAAACAAAACAAATCTACACATTAAAGCAAAACTTTATAATAAAATAATACAGCTCATTAAAATTCATCAATGTTTCATAAATATTTAGGAATTACTCTTCCTCCTACTGAATCAGACTAATGGAAATTTAAAGCAGAACCAGATCATGTAACATTTCAGGATTTGAAAAATTTTCCATCTGAAATGAGAGAAGAACCCTGCTGGATATTATTTTTGACTCTAGCCAAAAGAACAACTTTGTTCTTATCAAAATAAAGTACTTGGGTGAGGAGGAGGGGGGCACAAAGTGTGCACTTTGCATCGTTTCCTTAATTTATGAGGTGTTTTTAAATGGGCTGGGTAAATTACATAACTCAGCACAGATCACTTTTATAATTAAGCTGCTGGATTAGATTAAATCACAAGCAAACATAAATTAAACCCTAGCAAAAGTCTAAGCAACAGGTTAAGAATGAATACTGAAAGGTTTTGTAGCACCATAACAATTTCCTAAGACACTTGAGGGGTCAGTTTCACTTTAAAGTATTATTCATCTTGTAAACAAGACCAAAAATATTTAGTTGATCTGTATACTTTGAGCATAAATATTTATAAACTCTATTTAAAAAAAAACCCAAATATAGCATGACTAGAGCAGCTAATACTGTAAAATCCAAGTATACTGAAAAATAGAAATATATAAAAGGCTTCTATAATGCAATCATGCAGAGTTAAACTGCTTCATTTAATTACACAAAAGTGATTTTGTACATTTATCTATACATGGCTCCATGAGAATCTTATTCAGGAAAATGAAATAATGTAACTTACTTTAAATTTACTGACATATGAGAATTTAATCATGTAACTGGTCAACTGAATTTTAGCAATTTTCAAAAGGCACAATGATCTTAATGATCATGAAACAACACTGACTTCCAGTTCTCAATAGCTTCTTATGGGAGGAGGTTGCAGGTAGGTGCTGCTTCTGCTTTTATTTTAAAAGCTCAGGGAAAAAAGGAAGATGGTAAAAGACATCTGAAGGTGGTCCTCCAGAAACTAATCAAAATTATTAACAGCAAGTGACATCTTTTCAGAGAATGTTCTATGGTTTCTAGATTGGTAGTGAAACCATAGTGTAGAGATGGAGAATCCTTCATTGAATATGAAATGTAGCAAACTGACCTTGGAAAATATTAACTTACTTGTAGCTACCTAACTGGCAAATATGAAACAAAAGCTTACTTAAGAAAAATGCCTTATCGACTGTTAGGTTCCACTGAGAAGATTTACATAAGCTGCTTCTTCAGCCATGCCATTCTGAATCAATGTGGATCAAAATAGATAGTTTACATGACTTATGTGTTCACTACATTTTATTTTTTATTTAAGACAACTACAATGCATATTCAAGGGGAGAAAAATGCAGAATAGTCAGCTTTGCATACACACACGAAAAAGGATGAGTATGGCTGAATGGAACTAAAACAAGGGCAAACATAATCTGTACAACTTAGACTTTTCTGACAGTACCAACAGTAACAACTTCTCAAATGTCTCCTGATAATCTACAAAAGAAAAAACAAACACTTGGTCAAAAAAATGTTTTATGATGTCCACTATAAAAAGGATATGTGAGTGAATATTCAGGATGAGATTTAATCATATCTGTCATAAGTCTAAGCCACATTATTTATAAATAATTTATACAAATACTTCTTAAGGTGAAAGCGATATTCTAAAGATTGTCTTTGTACTTCATGTCTTGATTGCAAGTAAAGAAGACATAGGAAAAAAAACCCCTGTAAAATTAGACATTTAATAGATATGTTTTAATACTGGTATTCCATATCATCATCTATTATTTTCAAAGAAAGAAAATTTGTTTTGAAGAAATAAGAATAAAAAAGAAAATTAAGTGGCCATGGCAACATCAGTAAGTACATTCAGAAGAAACAGGCAAGTTATAGCATGTAAAAAAAAGTACTTCATCATGTGTTCAAAATTACTTTAAGTGATTCTTAATCCCAGAAATATATATTAAATCCCAGAAAATTTTGAACCAAAATCATATTTAAATTTTTCAATTCATTTTCTTCATTCTAAATTGTTCACACAAATGAACACAGTATCATGGCTTTGTAGAGTTCCCAGACACACTCTGCAATTTAGTTGAGACTGAATGTATCTCATACTACAAAACCAAGAGGTCTTATTCCTTTGTGAAGTATGTTAAAAAAAAAAAGGCTAGAAAGAAAACATTTGAAAATAAGGTCAGAGTACACATTTGGATACATTTCTAGATTCAGAGGTACTCAAACTGTAAAGATGATAATCCTGTACATGTAAACATCTATTCAAATTAATAAAGGGCACACAAAAAATGACAAGATGATAATATTTTAACAGTCGTCTCCAGACAGGAACAGGTCTTGCTCTTGTAGGTCACAAAACTAAATTCAGGCAATGATGATTTCTCTCTGCTGGAAAAAGAGAATACTATTAAAAAAAACCTTTGAAGACAGTAAACATATTTAAAAATTGAATCACACCATATACTGATGTCCAACTTCTACACACATTAAAAGAAAAGCTATTTGAGAAAGAACTTAAAAAAAAAAAAGGTTGCAGACAAATTACACAAAAGATCATCTTTGGGCTAAAATTATTTTTAATAAGAACTTATACTACGCTTCCTGAAGTGACTAGCTTCAAAGATCATAGACCCACCATATGGCTATGATCTAAAATCCTTGGTTAGAAAATCTAGTAACAGCATATTTTCAGAGAGGTGAGAATAGGCAAAAAAAAAAAATTTTTTTAAGAAATCAGGGGGAAAAAATTCTGAAGCATTGTAAATAAAATCAAAAGCAATCTTCTGTTTCCCAAAGATTTAAATTGCAAGGTGTGTGCAATTTCCTTTAAACACTCTATAATAATCATTTCTTTAATCACACTATAAAATGTGAAATTCTACACTAAGCATAAAAGGGCAGAAAAAAAAAGATTAAAGAACACATCAAAATGAGAGTGGTATTTGGAAGGCTAACTTTTGATGATGGCAAGATGGATGGAATAAACAGACAAGAAGGGAGGAACTTAGGAGGTAACAGTTATAGAACTGACACACAAAAGTGAATCAAATTAAAATGGTTTCAATTACATTTAAGTAATGAGTACATAGTACCAATAAACTTCAAGGAAAGTTACATCAAGTTAGATGTCTTTCAGGTAAGCATGCAGTCATTGGAAATTCCTGTGAACGGCAGTCATTTTCACCGAGACTTCTTACTGTCCTAGGACTTGCAGGTTGCTATTTTGGAGGAGCATCTGTTTTATTTGGTAAGTATGTAACGATGAGAGAGAGAGAGAGACTGAGACACACTGACTCCTCTCTGATGGCCTTTATACATACCTCAAAGCAACTAGCCAAGTCAAGAAGTTAGCAAGAACAAGGTAGTTCCTGAGATCGGGGATAAGGAAATGTCCTTTCTGCCTTACATACGCTTTTGATCAGTTTTAATTTCTAACATCAAATTTTCGGTTTTTAGTTGATTGGATTTTTTAAAAATACAAAAGGCCTGTGAAAATGATCAAAAGTGAACTAATTTAGTAACAGAATTCCATACTGTTTTAAAAGGCTGGCAGTCCTTTGTAAAAAAAAAAAAAAAAAAAAAAAACAAAGCAAAACAACAAAAAACATGTGGGGCGTGGAGGGAGGCTGGACCTTACAAATACTTAAACAAATCATAGAAGGACTAAAACTGAAAGGCCATAATTAATCATTACATGTTGGGGGAGGGGTGGAAAGGAAGAAAATATGACAAAGTTTGCATAAAACCCTAAAATAGCCATTGATGTTTCAACATACCAAAGAAGTTGCTTTCTTTCTGAATCTTCTTAACTAATGGCTAACGTCCCAATATTAGAAATATAAGCCCTTCAAACCGATGCTAGTTATAAAATATTTCCTTCATTTAAGTTCAGTCATAGTCTCTACAGTTAATCAGCTAAAACAAAGAAATTCTGACTTTATAGTAAACTACTAATTGTTACACTTAATCATACTACAATGAAACAATAGCTATGGGACACTCTCCCATTCCTATAACATGTTTCCATTAAATCTGTGGCCATCAGTTAAGTAACTACTGAAATATTAACACTGAAAACACTGCTTAGAGCCATAATGATTGAAATAGGTTAAAAAAAATTTATGTAAAATGAAAATGCAACCATCCCCTGAGATGACCCTAATCAATCTTTGAACAGTAATTTATTTTTCCTTATTTGTTCCTATAGAAGCTGTCCACATCATCCTTAATCTTTTACCCATTTCCAACCCATTCTACACAGCCCAGTTCTGTACTAAAGCAAAAAACTTGTTAGAAGAGCTGTAGAATTAAAAAAGGCATTTATAGTTTTAGGCAGCACATTATAAAAGGCATAAGCAAAGTAAACTGAGATGCGAAGACAAATACATAGTGGTTGGGAGACTGATTGTATCTGGATACAGGTACATATCTGTGGTTTTAAACACTGAGTGCAGAAGCAAAATGAAAAGTTCTAATTAGGAAGGGAAAGGGCCAGTGAAAATAGAAGTTATTCCATAAACTTTACGTGGAATTTGTGCTGGCAAATGCAAGCACTCAAGAACACTACATAAAAACTGTACCAAAGAGTACCAAGAGACAGTGTATGAATGAACAAAATCAAAGTTGTTTCCACTGGTAAGAGGATAGAAACAACCGTAACAGCACATGGGAAGCATTGGCTTAAATTTATTAAACTGATTTAGCAAAAACATTAATATTGTACCAGGGAAATTTCTTAATTGAAAGAGACCTCAGAGATCATCTAGTCCAACCCTTTTCAATGAGCAAAGAAACAATTTCGAATGAGGCAAAAGACTTACTGAGGCCACAGAGTCAAACACATAGTTGGACCAAAATTGTCTTAACCACACACTAGTTTGCTTTTAATATAAAGTAGTGGGATGAACTAGATTGGTGACTGTCAGCCTTTATAATCGCAGACACTGATAGAAATTAAGACTTTTTACCCCTGAAAATGACTGCAACATTAATACTCCAAAATATTAATAGTAAAATTACTGTGGAAATTCTATTCAGGATTACATGTGTATACCTCCAGCAGTACTAGTCACACCACTGAGAGAAGCTTAACAGTTTAACTGTATCAGTTATTTAGCAAAATGGTCCTAAAAATTGGACAGACCTTCAAGAGAGATACTTGGAAAACTTATAAGAATGAATAAGACAGGTAATCCTCACTCTATTACTGGAAATTTAAATATGCACTCATTCATTACTTCATCCAACAAACATCTAAGTGCCCACTATGATTCGGGCTTTCTGATAAGCACTAAAGATAAAAAGATGAATAAGACATGGTCCCCTTCCTAGAGGAGCTTGCAATCTAGTGGGGAAGACAGACATATAAACCAGATAAATTAATTACAACATAATTACTGTAACAGAGATATGAACAAAGTGCTATACTAAGAGGCAGCGTAAAAGTAGAAACTGCCTAATGATCAAGAACTTCTACAGTAACATAAACATAATCTCACAATCAATAAGTAGCAAAAGGCAACAATATGTAGTTTAAAAAAATGGCACTGAAATAAGAATGACTACATTTAAATGTAGTCCCTTCCATTTGCTAGCTACAATTTGGGGCAAGTCACTCCACCTGTATTAGTGTAAAGTTTTCTTATCTGTAAAATGAAAATTCACTGCTTCCAGGAAATATCTTAATATTTAAATGAGAACATATGAATGTACATATGGAATTCTAGTATTTATAAATAAATTCATAAATAAAAAATCAAGGAACATAATTACTAGCACTTATAACTCAAATACAAATGCTCTCTACAAGCATTAATTGTGAATCTAATCAATGTTGGTAACATTATTCCCATTCTTTGGGACCAATCTGAATCATACCTGTCTTTTAAATAACTAAAAAATATGGCTTAATACAGTTTAAGTTCCAGCTACTACAGAATTTCACAGTAAGGGAACTGGCTATTTATCGATTGAAATAAACAGAAAAGGTCATTTCAGTCACATTATAAGGGAATTTTACAAAATTTTAAAAATAGGTTAAATTTATTAATCAAATTATAAAGCCAAAAATCAGTATGGAGATATTTAACTGGCCTTGGAAAGATTTACTTTCTTTATAATACCTGTTTGGTGTAAAGAGAAGAAACGTGAGCCTCTGCCAATTTGGCATCTTTCACGACTACTAAAAAGAAAAGAAAAGAAACTTACCTAATGAATCAGAATAGCACATAGTCAACATACAAGAGACTACACAAAAATGTATCATAGAACTTAGTAGAGAAATTTTTGTGTAAAGTCACTATCTTGAAAACTGAAACTCGATTTAAAAATTTTAAGTATAAACATGTGCACCAATTGTTATTCAAGCATTTCTGTGGAATGGTACTAACAATAACACCACTTTAATCCCTAGTGGGGGATGGGGTCAACAAGTTATTCTACTAATAGAAAACTATGATGGTGGCAGAATTAATAGTTTTTAATTGTTAGGATCTCAATATGGAAGTTACTTTTAATGTAATTTCTAATATTATCACTAAATCTCAAGAGAAATACTTGCAATTAAAATGACTGATTTTAAAAGATAAATAGGTAAACCCATTCCCCATGCATTTATTTCCTAGAAACTACTGTATGAACTTTCAACGATCATGTTCACTTGCCAGAGAAATCCACTTAAAATCACAATATTGTTGTAAATTTCAAAGATTTTTATGCAGGAATAGGAAATACACACTTAAAATATCAGACTGAAACACTTACCAAACAGTGTTTTCCTAAAGTAGTATCTATAGTACATTTCTTTATTCATATATCTTCAAATGCTCAAGTTTTCTTTCATACATCCAAAATGTAATGTGATGTTTTCTTATTCACCAAATGTTAGCTCTACTTGAAGACTGGTTCCAAACTAATCAGCCTGCTTTTAAATTTTAAGACATCTGTTGAAATTTATAGGATCAAACCAAACTGAAGTGGTATAAATTTTAAACATTGGATTGAACATTATTGTAAAGGTGCTGGAGTAGATGAGTGATTATAGCTTTGGTGATAACTGAGGGGCACGGGGAAGTGTATCTCGCCATCTGGAATGGTCTTACGTCTTTTAAATCTTTTTTTCCTTTTTTTTTTTTTCTTTTAAAAATGAAGGAACATTGTCTTGGTCTTTTTTTTTTTTTTTGTCATTGCTTTTTCTTTTCTCTTTCTTTTTTTTTTTTAAGAGACCATTCCACTTTATTTTTTTAACATCCAGATGCATAAGGACTCATACGTAAAGCAGTCATACACCATTATCATTAAAACCCATATGGTAAAATACATACACAAGTCCAACAAAAGGCTAATACATAGTAAAGCCTAAGCATACTACTATGTAATATGAATACATAACTTGTAGATTTTAGTTAGAGCACTATGTTATCTACTCAATTTTTGAAAACATTCATTAAGATTTTAAATGCAAATTCATTCCTTATTTGGAGTAAAACAAAATCCTCTAAGTTATAACAAGTATTGGTCATAAGTTTTCAGACCTATTCATTAAATTACAAAGAACCCAAATAATTCTGTAATGTTCAGAAGTATGTAATAAAAACATTGCATATGTTTCTAGTGTGATGTCTTTAGCAACTGTTTACTGAAATAAAACGTAAATATCAATCTTTCAAAATACAGGATCAGAAGGTAGTTTTCTTCTTTTTTGTCTATTTGTGAAATCCATCTTCATCACATTTTAGCAAAAATTGTTTTTACAAATATGTAAAGTACATTAGATAATCCTAATGCAACACAGGTAGAGTTCTAGCATATGCAGATCAATGATCAGGCAAATCATCTTCTCCAAGAACGAGATTCATTGTCCTCTTCTTCTTCATCATCATCTTGAAGTAATGAATCATCCACCAAAGACTCTTCCTGAAACTTTAGGTTAAAATGTATTTAGGAATTTACCCAAAAAAACAAAAAAGAAAAAGAAAAAAAAGGTAACTTTTAAATATTGATCTCTCTCAACAGAGCTGAATACAAAAGGTATTTCTATAGCCAGAATATTAAAGAAATAAAGAAAAGTAACTTATCTACTAAATGGTTTTCTATAGTATCTACTGCTTGCATGAAACAGGCACTACAGAAACACCGTATGAAGTCGCTGTATACACTGTTTGTCCTCTTTACCAAATAAAGCCACTTTCTACATACTAAAAATGTTGCTCAGTATTTTCTTTAAAACAGAAATCAGAACGTTTCTGACTTATCTTGTCTAACCCTGAACACTAGTGAATCAGTAGCTTGTATAAAATTCTACCAAGATATCTACTTCTTTTCTGCAGTAAGTAGCAAATATTTTCTCGTATAGCATTTCTTTTTTTCCACCATTCCATTTGTAAGTTTCTCAGACTGCTTTTTTCAAACTTTAAAATACCTAATACCAGGAGCTCTCCTGCTTTTCTCCCCATTGAATTCAAACTCATGGAAGGACAAAGGTATAATCTAAAATATAAAATGACAAATCATGTATATGAGTTTCATAACATACATTTTATTTTTGCATTTAACTATGGATATGTATAACAGCCTTGAAATGCTCTTCAAACAAAGTGAAGTGTTATTAGCCGATCTAATACAGCCAAACCATGACATACTTTCCTTACCTTAAACTTTTTTCTTACCTTAAACTTTTAAAGACTTTTTCCTATAGTTGCTTCATGATTAAACAAAATATATACTTCTAAGTCTTTTATATCTAAGGGCACTTTCATTTCTCTGTTCTGTATGCACACATCTCTCTCATTAAACTGCTTATTGCCAAGAAAAATGCACTTTTCCAAACCTATCCTAAAGTTTATCATTGCCTGAAATGCCTTTTTTCAACTATAATTTCCAGCCCAGTTTCTGGTAAAGGAAAGCTGTTTCATCACTCAAGGGCCAGCTCTACTGTCAATACCTCCTGTAAGACTCTTCTTGACAGTAAGTCATGTTGTTCAACATCTTTATTAAACATATAATTCTGCCTTTTATCATAATTAGTTTCTCATACATCTGCCACCACCCCTCCTTCCAGATTATAAGCTCCTTTGTATCGGGACCGTGTCTTATTCATTTTTGTGCCTATCACCATATCTACAATATAGCAGACATTCATTTTAATGAACTAAAATGACATGAATTAAAATAAAAGGAAGCTGAAATGTTGATAAAGCAACTGAATCAAATAGATATTCTAAAAAAATATCGCAAGATTTCCTGTGGATAAAAATCTAATGAATAATTATTACAGTCTAACAGAAAATGAAACTAAGTATATATATATATGTGTGTGTATATGTGGTTTTCGTATATTCTCTTTGGATAAGTAACCCAGAGCTCTTCTTATTAATCTGAAAACTTAAAGTTGCCTGTGTTTATCTGATATCCCTTGGCTGGAATATGGCTCGGGAATAAAAGCTTTATGTTAAAAATCACAGCCATTAAAATCACTTTATATAAAAACTAAGAACACTTAAGGGCAAAAACAAGTGGGAAAAAAACATACTTCCTCTTCATCAGCTTCAATTTCTTCTGTTTCCACTGCTGAAATGTTAGCTATTGGTTTATTCCATGCCAATTTTAGATCCTGCCCTTTAAAACGAGCTCCATGAACTGCAGCCTAAAATAATTAAGAACATAGGAATACAAAACATTAGTAATGTCTGAACCAAAAAAATGTTTATGTTGCCTAATATTTAAACAAACATAACTAAACATAGTTGTCTATATTTAGCAGTTATCCACATCTAAATTTACTGTTTTTATTGTAACTTATCATGTTTATGTACTCTAATTTACTATTTTTGGCTATTTATCTCTAAAATTGGACTAGTGTCTGGAAATATATCTCAAAAGAAAAAAGACACAGTTATTTTATCACTGGCTAATACATCTGACCAGGAGAAATATATCTGAATATTTACTACATGATGATAACTATTTAACATAGTCATCCTAAGACATTTCAAGAGTCTAGGTCTCATTTCTGAAATAATGCCATTGGTGATAAGTAGTAATTAACTTGAAGCCTTTCACAAATATAAAAATAATTTTACATGTGTAAGGTAGGTACCACTCCATATTCAAATTATATCAGATGATCACAACTACTATAAAATGTCTGATGTGTAACTACTATAAAACTTAAGTAATCCAATAAATGAGAAAAAAAGCAACTAAAAATACAGTATTTCCTCAAAGCTCAAAACTGAGTATGAAAAATGTAGGATTTGGGAAGCAGTCAACTGTAAATGCTTGCTACCTTACGTGGTTAGTTTGCAAACGGTGAATTCAAATTAAAGTAACACAAAATAACATAAATCAATGTTAGCAACATACAGAAATAATTCATAGTCACAAAGATTGATAGTACAATCTCAAAGTATGGCATAAAATGAAATGTAGAAACAATTACAGGTTCAATGACATTTGAACATGAGCTGTGTGATATTAAAGTCCCTAGGTATAAATTTTAACACTTAACATAAATTTATGATAAATTTAGAAGTTTTCAAGCCCATTAAAATACAGTTTAGGAGTTTTTAATCTATGGTTTCAACACAATGTTAGATAATTAGAATTTAAGTACTCACATATATTTAAGTTGAGAAAGAAATGGCAAATTTTTAAAACCATAATTATTACATTAAACACATCATGCTACTGTAACAAATCCCAACTACCACATGCAAAATGACTGCTCATAAAACTCATCTTCTTATTCAGTTAAAAACAACTTCTTCTAAAAATCAAAAAGTGTCGATGTGTTCCATAATTTGAGAGAAATTCAAAAGATGAGCTGAGCTTCTAAGAGTTTCAATTATGTAACAATCATGTACCGGAGGCAGACACTGTGATAGCGGGTCAAGCCATAGCTTGTCATGATCACATCCTGAAATCAAGTCCTGCCTCTGCTTCTGATTCAGCTTCCTTCTAACGAGCCTGGCAGACAGAGGATGGTGTTCTCCAACACCAAGACACTGCCACGCACATACAGAAGGCTAAGTATATTTAACTTTTTATTAACTTTACTCCACTGCAAACTTGACTATTAGGCTGTGTAAATTTTTTTGAAATAACGGGTTTTGCTTCATGAAAAAGCAAATGCATACAGGAGAACAAAAATTTCTAATTTATAAGAAACATTCATGGTTCATAGTTATTTTCACTTTAATAAATCATTTTAAACTAACAGAAATTAATAGGCAATATCTCAAGTAATTCACTACAGGAAATCTTTAATTTGTTCTGTAACCTACCCATTTTTTTTAAAGTCAGAATTTCAGTGCACATAATGTAGAAATATTCTAACACATGCTTATCCTAATATCAACAGATAACCACTACTCTATGAAGAGTTTGGAATAAAGTTCTGCAAGTATTTTTCCACATATATACTAGAAGCTTGTATATTCACGAATGTATATTTATACATTTTACTTACAGCTTATTACATTATAATGTTCAGATACTTTTAATACCCATATCAAAAGATGTTATTTTTCTTCAACAATTGGAAATTTATATACCTATGCACTTTTGTGCAGATAACATACAGCTGCACATATATGTAGTGTACACACACTCACACAATAATGAGTCTAAGAACAATTTTATATATTTTTCAAAATTTAATGCGACTTTCTACAGGAATAAAATACTCCCCTACACCCTGAAGTAGCCTCCTGGTATTCTTCTAATTGAATGGTTTGTCCAATTTTCCAGCTGAATCTTCATTATGTTTATATATACACATAATGTATGTTTTTACTGAAGGATGGTTTTGTTTCTTCTAGGAAGTTTCAATTTTTTATACATTGGAATTTATCAACATTTTGCTTTATGGATATTGTGCCATGCACTTTAAAAGTCCTCTCCACACTTATTATTTTCAGAAATTCCTTGGTCTTTCCTAGTTCATAACTTCAAATGAAGGTAAAAAAATCTGCTCACTTCAATTAAAATATAGCTAACAAACTAGATAAAAGATTTTGAAAAGAAACTACCAAATATAAAGTGAAGTTTTCATTTAAAAGTCCATAAAAATCATTGCTACCAGAAAGTTTCAAAGGATGTTATAAAAATCATCAGATCTGTGTAATTTCACAGGTGAAACACATCCAAGGCTGTACTTAAATTACCCCAAGAGTTTGAACAAAAATGGAAAGCTTACCCCTCTTTTTTTTTTTTAACCAGGACAGGTAATATAAGTACCTAAAAAAAAATATTCCTCCCGAAACCTACAAAACAGTCTTACTTTTTAAAAAACCGATTCTAGAAGTAAAAATAAAAAGGATAATGTTGGTGATTTATCAAAGAAAAAATACAGTAAAATAGGATTTATACTAAATGTTAAGTGGCTAGTACAAAAAAGCAAAAGATAAACTTAATCCATTATTCTATAAATACAAATGCATGATAAAACAATTTGATAAAAAGTATCTTCATAGTTTTTAATAAAAAGCCAGTATCACACTGTTACTAAATATACTAGAACCAGTATCTTCATAGCTTTTAATAAAAAAAAGCCAGTATCACACTGTTACTAAATATACTAGAACCATTTTCATATATTTACCAAAGAAATCCTATTATCAATGCTTAAACATTTTCTGAAAAGCACTAACAATGAAATAACAGTGTTAAGTGTAGAAAAGTAAAAGATACAGGCAAAACTTAGATTTTGATGAAGTTATGACTGGATGACTAATCCAAAAATATAGAAAATAAAATTTAAAACAATCAAAAATTAACACGGTAGTTATATATCTAATAAAAACAGATGAACACTCGTCCAACAGAGTTAGCATGAAATATAATGGAAGATTTCGTTTAAAATAGCACTGAAGATACGCATTATTGGAGGGAAATTTATAAGCAAATGTGATCTATTTAAAGTAAACTTCACAACTTTATTAAAGGATAAGAACAGACTAAGAACTTAAAAAAAAATGCTGTTCCCAGAGGACGTTATAGTATTAACATGTTGATGCTCATAAATGTTTCTACAAACAAGGTTATTCTAAAGTCTGTCCATAAATTTTTTTTTTAATTTTAAAAGATTTATTTATTTTTTATTGCAAAGTCAGATATACAGAGAGGAAGAGAGACAGAGAAGATCTTTCCTCTGATGATTCACTCCCTAAGTGACCGCAATGGCCGTTGCTGAGCCAATCCAAAGCCAGGAGCCAGGAACTTTCCTCCATGTCTCCCACGTGGGAGCAGGAACCCAAAGCTTTGGGCTGTCCTCCACTGCTTTCCCAGGCCACAAGCAGGGAGCCAGATGGGAAGTGGAGCTTCCAGGATTAGAACTGGCACCCATATGGGATCCTGGTACATTCAAGGCAAGGACTTTAGCCGCTAGATCATCACACCAGGCCCCATAAATATTTTATGACGACCTATGTGGAGTAATTAGAGGTAGGGAGAGAGAGAGGAAGTTGTCTGCATCCCATTCAGGAGTACCTGGGCTCAGATCCCAGCTTGACTTCCAATTTGTTTTCTTCTAGTATGCACAAAGCCACAGGATGGGTCATGAAGTTAGAACATGCCACCAGGTGGAGTGTTTGGCTTCTGGCTTAAGTCCTGGCCAGTCCAGGTTGTTGCAGGCATTTTAAGAGAAAACCAGCAAATGGGAACTGTCTAGCTCTTCTCTCATTCTTACTTTCACATTTAAATATACACACACGCACACTGATTTTTAAACTTAACATTATTACCATAAAATTAAGACATCTGAGAACCATTACACTCCAGTTTATATTCTTCTCACTTGAGAAAAACTTCAATGTTTTTATTACTTTCAAAAGTAAATATTATAAACATCAGAGAAGCTTCTGGCTCACGGACACATTATTAATTTGAGAACTTTCACTATTAAATTCAAAATATTTACTAAAGCAGATGTGGCTATTCCACCTTCAGCCTACTGAGTAGTAAATCCAAACAAAATTGCATGTATTCTAAACAGTAACTCTCATTGGACCCACCATTCATCTTAGTTATTCTGTCATATGTTCAATTTCACATAATTCAGTGCTACTTATTTATTAAACTTAGTATTTTAATCAACATGTACTCATTTTTAAAAAAAGTATCTATCATATATGAACATATAAAGATAGACATGTAAGGTCAAAAACCCAACAAAAACATGTCATGAGGTCTTATTAAACAGCAAATCATCCAAAACTTAGGTTAGGACATTTTTTTTAACCAAGTAACCAAGTAGCCAAGGCATAGTATACACATTGTTTAAAGCTCCTATTAGATACTTAATATTTGTAATATTTGAACATTAACTAATAATAGTAGCTCTTTCCTTAAAAAAAAAATTGAGAAGTGCTGCTCAATTGACAAATCTTGCAAAAGATTTTTAAAGGACAGAGTACTCAGAACTAGTTTTTTTTTTTTAAAAGATTTATTTTTATTTTATTTTTATTGGAAAGGCGGATATACAGAGAGGAGAGACAGAGAGGAAGATCTTCCGTCCGATGATTCACTCCCCAAGTGAGCACAACAGCCGATGCCATGCCGATCCGAAGCCAGGAGCCTCTTCCGGGTCTCCCACGCGGGTGCAGGGTCCCAAAGCTTTGGGCCGTCCTCGACTGCTTTCCCGGGCCACAGGCAGGGAGCTGGAAGGGAAGCAGGGCTGCCGGGATAGAACCGGCGCCTATATGGGATCCTGGGTGTGTAAGGTGAGGACCTTAACCACTTGCGGCACCGCGCTGGGCCCCAGAACTAGTTTTTAAAGACAAAACTCTTGAGCCCAGTGCAGTAGCCTAGTGGTTAAAGTCCTTGCCTTGCATGTGCTGTGATCCCATATGGCCGCTGGTTATGATCCTGTAGGCCCTGGCTTCCCATCCAGCTCCCTGCATGTGGCCTGGGAAAGCAGTCCAGGATGGCCCAAAGCACCTGTGTGGGACCCTGCACCTGTGTGGGAAACCAAGATGAAGCTCCTGGCTTCTGTCTTCAGTCCAGCTCAGTTCCAGCTTTGTGGCTACTTGGGGAGTGAATCAGTGAATCTTCCTCTCTGTCTCTCCTCCTCTCTTTGTCTGATTTTCCAATAAAAATAAATTAAAAAAAAAAAAAAAGACAAACTCTGGAGTGTCAAGAATCTATTCTAAAAATAATTCACTACCTGCTCCATCCACTATCACGAAGTAGACAGTTCCAGGGCTCCAGGGGAACACTTCTCAAGACTCAGTCTAATGTTAAAATGCCTGAGAGCTACTCCTTCAACTACGTTTTCAACAAGGGATCATTTTAACGGCAAAAAAGCAGAGTATAAGTCAATTTTAAATGTTCAAAACTTAGATAACAATAAAAATTTAAACCATTAGAGAAGTATTTCAATCTGCCAATTATACAGAGTTAATTGCTTGGAAAATAATACCATTCTTGAAAAAAAGGGGCAAGGACAAATACTTCATCTTTTCAGTAATTCCTTTTTAAAAAAAATACACTAGGCTATGAAGTCTTCACACTGCTCTCACTTTTGTTTTTAATGTTTTAATCCCAAAATTTGTATTTATATGCATATAAATATATTTATTTATTTATGGCCAGTCTTTGGAAAGACAATTAAGTTATCAGATTAAATTACTAACAATATCTTCAGAGCTAGAACATACGGATGCTTTAAGCATAATAAAGGAAGGAGCAGAGGTCGTGTTGGAGGGTACGCGGACCTGCCGGCACTTCTCCATTGGAAAGCAGCAGGTGGAAGGTAATTATGGCTGAACATCAGGATCAGTTTCTATCTTATCCCTCAACACTCACCTCGTCGAAAACAGATATTGTGCTAAGTCAACTGAGGAAAAAAAAAAGGTGGAAACCGGAAAGGCCTAATCTATAAAATGAAGAGAAAGTTCCAGCAGTAGGCAACTGCCTGAGTTGCTGGGTACCTTGGAAAGCCTTTATTTATTGGGAGAAAAACAGCTAAACCTGGCAGGTATTCTGGGTCTGGTTTATACAAAATTTGTGCTAACTATACCTATGTGCTAGTATAGTTTCCTGTTCAAATAAGAAAAGAAAAGAAAAAGTTAAAACATTAAGATATTTTAAAACAGGCGGGTCTAACATGGTGGCCTAGTGGCTGAAGTCCTCGCCTTGAACGCACCGGGATTCCATACAAGGGCAGTTCTAATCCCGGTGGTCCGGCTTCCCTTCCAGCTCCCTGCCTGTGGTCTGGGAAAGCAGTTTAGGATGGCCCAAAGCCTTGGGACCCTGCACCCGCATGGGAGACCCAGAAGAAGCTCTGGGCTCCTGACTTCAGATCGGCTCAGCTCCAGCCGTTGTGGTCACTTGGGGAGTGAATCATCAAAAGGAGGATCTTCCTCTCTGTCTTTCCTCCTCTCTGTATACCTGGCTTTCCAATAAAAATAAGTAATGCTAACATAAATAAATAGGCAAACAAATAAATAGAGATTTAGTGGGAAATGCCAAACGGGGTGGCAGGGTGTGGGGCTAGGAGGACGTGAGCTCCGTTAGGCTGCAGCACCCACTGGGCCCTTCCAAGACCAGGACTAAGCGCAGAGCATGCCAAGCAGGTCAGTGGCACCCACTGGCACAAGCAAACTATTGGGCTGGTAGGGAAACTTGGGGAACTTCCTTGTTAGGCTAAAGCTCCTGCTGGGGAGCATAATGGTTTGGGCTGGGCTCAGGTCAGGCCAGGCTAGGTTAAAGCATCCACCAGCAAATCCGAGATCCAGGGCTAGGAACTGGCATGGTAGCGGTTGCTGGGCACTCTTCTTCTGGGGAGTCAGGGCTGGGCAAGTTTGCAGCAACCATCCAAATGCATGCAGGCTATGTCGGGGGTTGGAAGGAGGGCAGACTAGGTTCAGCTCCAGCACCCACTGGCACTTGCAAGAGCCAGAATGGATGAAGAACCAGCAGCACTAAGCTGAGGCACTTGCCTCTTCATATGAGAGCCAGGTCAGGGGATGGACAAGGCTGCAAAGTAAGAGCTGGAATGAATGCAGGTCAGTTGGGCTAAGCTGCAGTACTTAGTGGTGAGTGCCAGGACTGGTGCCAGCCATGTCTAACTGGGTCACAGCACCCACCAGCACATGTGAGATCCAAGGGCGGGAACAGACCTGGTATGGGAACTCGGTAAACTACCTTACTTATTGCAGCTTCTGCTGGGGAGTGTGAGAGCCAGGGCAGGCCAGGGCAGGCTGTGCCTATCAACAGCACCCATCAGCATAAGTGTGAGCCAGGTCTGGGGGCAGGCCAAGCTGGGCCAATCCATAGCACACAGGGCACAACCAGCAGCCAGGACAGAGAGCAGACCAGGCCAGGTTGGACCAAAACACCCACCAGTGCACATGTGGGCTGGGGTGGGCCAGCTCAACATGGCAGCACTATCCAATGGCATACATGAGGATTGGGTCCAGAACAGGCCAGCCTGAGCCAAGCTGCAGTACCCATGTGCATGCATGAGAGCCAGATGGGATGCAGAATAGACTGGGCTAGGTGGCAGCACATGCCACACAAAAACCAACATCAGGGGCAGGCCCAGTAGGGGTTATTGGGCTTGCCCCAACTAGGTTGCTTCCCAGAGGTTGTGTCAAGACTGGACCTTTGTCAGGCTGAACTAGGTTGAGCTAGGCCGCAGCACCCATCAGTTAGCATGAAAGATAAAGCTGAGGGTAGGACTGATCAAGTAGCTTCATCCACCAGCACGTGCACTGGCTGGTGCAGGTGAAGGATTGAACCTGATTCTGTACTGGCTGGCACATGCAGAACCAGGTCTGAGATCACCCCAGGCAAAGTTGCTTGGGGAACTTCCCAAGTAGACGGTCGAACTCAAACCCTGGCCACACAGAGAAAATCCTAAGATACTGGTTCGACCTTGGAGTACATGTATCAGGACTGAGCCTCCTCAGTTGCTGATACATATATGGTGCTCAGTATGCCCAGATATACACAGGGAATATAATGGCCAGCTCATCTAGGTCAACAGAGGAGTGAGTACCTCATCAGAGGATGGAAAGTAGAACAGGTTGGATCATTCTCCTGGCCGAGCTTACCAACATATTGCTAGGCCTGGGCATGCACTGAAGTAGACTTGGTCAGCCAACAGACCTTGGAAAGATTTTCTCAACCTGGGGGCAACAAAACCTATGATGTCTCAGAGCTATCAAAACAACTTAAGTAATGCCCTCCAACACTCTTCTCCACACTGGGGTCTCTAGGGCACCATCAAATGAACATCTCCCATCCCCAGGTGCTGATGCAATTTGACAGCAAGGAGTGGGCCCCACACTTTCTTTACAGACACCAGAGGGAAAAAATGGAAACATTTGTCCCACCCACCTTCTTCCACACTTCAATCCTAATAGGAGACCCACAAGGGCATGTACCCCTCAACTATGTAAACAATACTAAAAATAAAATTAAAAACCAAAACCTAACAAAAAGGCAAGTTTTCTGACCAAAGAGAGAGAACAATCTGACATTGAACTAAGTGAATGCCTTGAAGTATTCTAATTATATTATTTTATATACAGATGTGTCTAACTAAACTAAGATGTTTCAGGTGGACATGAATTCCATTTTATAGATTCTACTTATTGGTCAAACATGATTACTCATGTAAGTTTAAAAATATTCATCTAAAGGGAAAAAAAGAAAAGTAGGAAGGAAAGAGGTTGAGGGAGAGCAAAGAAGAGAAGTAGGAAGGGAAGATGGTTATCTTAGAATTGAATCTATAAAATACATGAGTTGTTTTATAATAATAAAAATTTAATCAGTCTATATTAAAACTTACAAGCAGTGTTTACACATTTAAATTTGAATTTTTGGTAAGTTTTTTTTAATACTTACTACTTCAGCGTCTACTCTTGTCTTGAATGTAATTACTGCATGAAGTGAAGAGTCATCAATCTGACAATCTTCAATTTCACCATATTGCTTTAAATTAGAAAAAAGTATTTCCCCCAAATAAATATTTTGAAATATTCAAAAAACTTTTAATGGCATTTACAACATTAAAATAGTAATAAATATAACAGAGACTATGTACCAATTCATTCCGGTTAACAAAAAAATGATCAAAAATTCATTCTAGTACTTGATATTATAAGATAAAGGGGTGGCCTTTTTTCCAGTATTATTTACATAATTCTACTCTTTGAATAATTAGTAAACCTTATAATTAGTTGCAATACTGTTGAACTGAATGAAATAATGGTCAAAACCCGATTTTCTGATACTCATTAATCTCAGTATACACTACGTTCTTTTTAATAGTGTATCAAATTCTTAGATCATTCCCTGAGGTTTTTTGGCATAATTCTCAATAAATGGGAAAAACTGATGCATTTATTTTAAATAATTTTCCCAAAATAACTAACTTCCAGGATTAGATGCAGTCTGATTCAGAGTAATGATATCCAAACTATACCATATACTTTATCATACCACATAATCTGTTACAGATATTTAAAAGCCAACCACATTACATATGCCTGCTTTTAGTGTGCCAAATCTATGTACAGGAAGATTCTTCCATGTGATCAAGTCCTTTGTATATATTTATATATAACTGCCAATACATTTTTACCCCCATTAAAAAATTATATCCATAATCTCACTGAAATACATAAAGCATATGGCGAAATTATGCAACTGACTCTAAAATCAACTATGCCAGTTACTAGCTATATAAATCTAAACAAGTTACTTTACCTCTTCTTGTATGACTTTCCTTATCCTTAAAATACTGGACATAACAATACCTACCTTATAGGAGTGTTCAAACAACTTGCAATAAGGAATTATTATAAGGCATTCAAAACTAATAGCTAGCACACAATATAAGAGCTCTGCAAGTTTCGGCTATAATCTTTTATTATGACTAATTCCGATAGATATTTAAATAAGCATTTTGTTCATCCTGATTTTAATAGTCACAGATTCTTTAAAAATGTAGGGTTTTTTTCCTGGTATCTGTTAACTGTTCAAATCACAGACTGAGATTAAGAAACTTAATGTTAGACCTGCATTCTTATTTAAGAAATAGTTTCAGAACCTGAATTATCCCTATTAACCTTTGAGTGGAGTTTGATTCTCTAGATGCATTTAAGAATTTTTGTTTAGAGGCTCTGAATGTTTCTTAAAGCAAAACCATACTAAGGGTGGGAGTCAGGCACAACGGTAAAATCACCACCCGGGGATACAGGCCTCCCTTTCATGGCCTGTTTTGAGTCCCGAGTCCTCTGCTTCCAACCCAGCTTTCGGGTTAACTCACACCCAAGGAGGCAGCACAGGATGAGGGCACAAGTGCTTGCACTGCTGCTCATGCCACCACACGCAAGACCCGAACTGATTCTGGATTCCTGGTTTCAAGCTGGCTTGTAGGCTTTTTGGGAGTGAACTATTGGATGGAAGATCTGTTTCTTTCAAGTAAAATGTAAGAAAAACATTTAAATTTCACCAAATCACAATTATACCCAACTCATTTTATTTGTATGTATTATTTTAGCAGATTCATTTCTGGTTTCCTGATAAACTCCTTAACATGCTTATGTTACCCAGGTATCACTTCCTTTGTGGAAGGGTATAGAAGTGAGATGCACAGTAGTGAAGAGTTGGGCTATATTATACCCAAACTCTTTTCTTTTCCCTTTGAGCACACCAAGGATAGGATTTCCTATATTTCTTATCCTTAATCATTTTAGTTATTTTTAAAATAATTTCTTCTAATACCTCTTACATCCTAACAGTCTCTAATTGTTGTAAGCCTTCCCACACTTAAATGTGACTTTCACAAGGGTAAATTATTTGTGTACTGATCTACAAAAGCTTATCTTTACTGAATGATCTAAGCTCTAATTTTATTATCTCATTAAACTACCTCTATTTTTTCTTCCATCCTATGCCATTGTAAAAGGCACTTCTCAAATTTAATAAAGTATTTATGGTGTTTAATAAATTTAACTTGATTGTAAATTATTTTCATAGCTTAACTGTTTTTGTGAAACCAATATATGTAAATGCATGTCTTCAGGGTAAAAAACTGATTATTTCCTTCCTGTCTCTGAGTAATTACTGTAAGCTGAGGTTAAAACTGCTGTTTAGTAACTAATACTTGGAAAACCATGAAGAATCACAATTCCTAAGCCAGAAGGGCCTATGGCATGTGGAGTCTTCTCTGTTCTGTACATGAACCTAATGAATCTCAGAGAAATACAATTCAATAATAGATTAGTTATGACTAGAATGTCATTCTCCTTTCTTAGATCAATCATCAGCTCACAGACTCCTTGCTATACCCTGGTACTTAAAAAAAAAAAAAAAAAAGACTGTGCAGCAAGTTGAACAGCTCCTTAAAAGTAAATATTTTATATGATACTAACTAAAGGAATTTCTTCTTTGAAACACTGAGAAATCATTTTTTTCACAGTATTTTTAAAGGCCTACCAGTAAGAGTTGTGACATTCTTTCCAGATAACTAAATAAAAAGTCTTACAATTTGTTTTAGAAAATTTTTAGAAATTACAGATTACTCCAACTCTTTGTTCAGATTAATGGTTTTAAGTTACTCGTGTCGCTTTCATCATTTCCTCTTTAATCATATCTAGTATCTAAATGGTCATCACTGGCATTTATTTGGTGTGTAAGAAAGTACCGCAAAATGAGGCAGAAGATCTTCTCTATCACTCTCTGTAAACGCAGAAATCTCCAACGCCCTGGGACGGTGATCCACCACAGCGTGACCGGGCACACCTCGCCCTCGGCCTCGACCTCGACCCCTGCCACGGCCGTGAGCTGTACCTCGACCTCTTGAATGAATTCCTCTACCTCGACCAGAGGAAAGAATCCCTCGTTTTGCAGCCTATAAGAGATCAGACACACAGGTTAAAGAATGTTGCACTACAACTTCAACACCCCTTTAACAAAAACATTGGGGTCCAAAAATAATTCAGGTTTTACTTTTCCAGATACTAGATTATTTACGTAGTTGTCCAGCTACACTTCTCTAATCCTCAAATCCAAGTCTTTTTAGTATTTTGAATTAGATGTCAACCTGTCTTAATACAAGCAAGTGTTAGAATGGCAGATGAGTCGGAATTTTATGCAATGTCAGCATATTCAAATAATGCTCTTTAAAAAAAAATAAAAGAGGGGCCAGTACTGTAGCTCAGTAGTTATGCTGCCAGCCAGGATGCCAGTATCAACATGCATTAGTGCAAGGCTTGGCTGCTCCACTTCCGATCTAGCTCTTGCTAATGCTCCTGAGAGCACTGTGGAAGATGGCCCAATGCTTCAGTGCCCGCCATCCACAGAGGAAACCTGGATGGAGCTCCAGGCTCCTGCCTTATGTGGCCATTTTGGAAGTGAAACAGTGAATGGAATCAGTCTCTCCCTCTCTTTCAAATACAAAAATCTTGAAACAAAACAAAAACATTATATTAGTTAGGATCTTAGTTTTTTTTTTTTTAATTATTGATTACATTGTATTATGAGACATAGTTCTATAGGTACTGGGATTCCTCCCACCCCTCCCCCCATGGTGGACTCCTCCACTTCGTTGTGAAACCTCAGTTCACATTCAGTTGAGACATGGATCTTAGTTTTTAAAATGCAATCCTTTCAAGTAGCTAGAAATTCAGATAAAAGCCTTAACATTAAAGTTTTGAAGTTATTAAAAGCACCCCCTTTCTAAATTCTTGTTCTCTAAATTATCAGGACACGCCACAAAATGATCCGTGTCTTTAGATTTCTAAATAATAGACAATGTTAAAGGTAATTTCAGAAACCATGAAAACACACAAAACACACCACAAAGTGGAGCTTTCCAGTTTGGACATTTAAGCATAATGTTTGTTTCTTTGCTGATTTAGTGGTGATCTTGAATTAATCATATATCACAACATTATTATAAGACCAATGTATCACACTAATTCATCATATGCATAGTGTGCCATTTCATTATGCTCCAAATATTTAATGAACATTTCCTATTAGAGTTAAGTCCTTGCCATCATGAAAATCAAATCTTAAAGAAGAGATATTAAACAGTATAGTATTTAATTAATTAATGAGAGGTTGATAAAAAACAAATAACTTAATTTTAATATGATGTATAGATATGAACAGGACACAACATTCCAGATAGGCAGTGAATCAACCCAGCAGAATGAAATTTCCCTGAAGGTTTTTTCCTGTTTAGTCTGTGCTTTATTCCTAACATCTGCAACACTTGCTTGCAGGCTGTATTTTACTATTTGTTCAACAAAGAAACAAAGGAATTAAGAATGAAAAAGCCAAGAGATTGGAGTATAATATGAATAACAGCCAAGATGAAAAGAAATACAGTTTTACAAATAATGAATAAAATGCAGTAGAGCTGGATGTGGCTAGAGTGACAAACAAATTCAAATCATGCACCCAATTCTAAGAATTTTGACATTTATCTCAAAACCCATGAAAATCAATTAAAAGATCTTAGGCAGTAAAACAAAGTGATACAATCAAATTAGTTTTGAAAATGAAGACAAAGCTGGAAACCATTCAGCAAGCCACTTTACTAATCTTAGCACTTGAAGACAAAGGCTTGCAATCAGTTATGGTGATAGAGAAGTTTTTACAACAGAGAATTAAACATATTTAAGATTTATTTAGGAGTAACATGCAGTCTCAAAAGGCAGAACTAGAGGCAAAACTGCAGCCCAGTATCCCCACCTGGATTCTAACCATCTCTAACAATGTCACAGGGAGGAGGAACATGATCCAAAGGAGGCAGAGCTGAAGAAACTGCTGGTGCTCTGAGTCCCTGTAACTACTAGTAATAGTCTGAGAGAGTATTGTGAGAAATGGGACATACTGACAGACTGTATGATAGAGACCCCTAAAAATAATGTTCAGAGGCTTTGGTTCTGTGACTTCCTCTCATGTTGAAGAAGTGGATGCAGCAGTGTACCCTTGATTATACAAAGTTAATGGGCATGTACTGGAACTGAGAGCTGGCTGTAGAAGGGACACAATGAAACCAACCTGGTGCCCTTCTAACACTGAAGATTTTTGTTGATAGTATTAAAGAAGATATAGAGAAATACAATTTGAGAGACTACTTTGAGAAGCACAAAAGCAGCGAAACCACAGAATAAGAAAGGCAAAGCAGGAAAAAAGAGATTTGCTTTTGCAACTTTTGATGGTAACACAGGTGATAAACAGGTCCTTTCTAAACAAGAAGTACAGCCTGCTACTGGATTACCAAGAGCCTGTGGAAGTGGATCTGGCAGCTTCATGGGTCATGGAGGAAGCTAAGTTGTAAGAGGAAGCTAAGCTGGTGGATATGATGGCAACAGGAAATTCTAAGCTGATGGTGGATGCAATGATTTTAGATGTGAAGGCAGGCAACCATAGCAGTGGTCCTGGTTATGGTAGTAGAGATAACTCTGGTAGTGGCAGACCAGAATATGGCAAACAAGATGGAGGAAGATGCAATGGTTACATGATGAAGGAAATTTCTGAGGTAACTACAATAATGGTGGAAACGACAAGGACTTTAAAAATTATAGTAGAAACCAATTATGGACTTATGAAAGGGGCAGTTCTGGTAGGAAAAGCCTAGGCATGATGGTTATGGATCTGGTAGTGGGGGTGGTGGGCATGGTAACAAGAAGTTGTAAAAGCAGAGGGTTACAACTTTTAGCCAGAGAGTGAGTGAGGAGTTGTCAGGAAACTTGGCAGGAGTCGGCAGGTTACTTGGAGACAGCTGTCCCAAATGCAATAGAGGAATAATAAAAATCTACCACAGAAAAAATAACAATCTGTAGTCATAAAAATCACTGCAACAGGAACCGTTCTTGTTAAGGACTGTCACAGCCATAGTTTCTAAGAAGCACAGTAATTCAGCATAGAGTTGTTAATTAATGCAATGCAGTGACAATCAGATGCACATCTATGAGGTCTTTCATCTTTGTAGCTTTGTCTTTTTCATCATTATATTGCTCCAGAAATTTTAACAGTGGCACAAATACAAATATTAAGGAATCACAAGAAAAAAAAAAAGTAATCAAGTAAAATCTGTTAATTAACTGAATATGGGCACTAAATAAAAAGGGTAGAGTGAGTTAGATGTCCAGATTTTGGGTTGCACGGACTTTAGGAATTAGCTAAATGAGAACACTCTGAACAGGCTGAGAAGACGCTGAGATTTCCAAATGGAATGTCAAACTGGCACAACTGCTGAACCTCTGCTAGTATTTCAGCTTCTTCACCTTAAGATATTGAATCTTACCATTAGCTAGAATAAGCATGTAAAATCCAAATATAAGACAAGTAAAAAAATCCAGGCACAGAAGTGCAAATACTGCACTAATTTACTTATATGTGGAATCTAAAAAACTACATACACAGAAAGAGAGAACAAAATGATAGCTGTCAGGTTCAGAGTGGGCAGATCAGGGCCTTCCTTGTCTGAAAGCCTTAAGAATCCATAGGACATTTTCTTGAACCTGCATACCATTTGCATTATTTGAGAACCTGATTTAGTTGCATGTGTATTCTGCCCAAGATAATAGATTTGGGAAAAGACTTCTTATGTGTTATTGTAGAAATTGTAGAGATTTTCTGCTAATGTCATTGTGACTTTAAAATTTCATTTTCAAAACGTTGACCCACACTTTTTGTAACTAGGTAATAGTGGCACCAAAATTCTTTATCCAAGCTTTTCCCTCATGTAACTTAACATTGCATGACTTGTTCTGTTTTTGTTTTAGGATAGCTTATTTAGTTTGCAGTACACCTTAGCTTATACCAGTAATTAGTGTGTTCATTCATCATACTGTGTTTCTTGTTAATGGATGTGAAAAAAGGATTTTGAGGTTGTAAAGATGTGGAAGATTTTCTTTTTTTTTTTTTTGAAATCGAAAGGCAAAGTTGAAGATGTCCTCGTGTGAATAGCACATTTATAAATATATACATTTGGGCTCGGCGTGGTGTCCTAGTGGCTGAAGTCTTTGCCTTGAATGCACCAGGATCCCATATGGGAGCCGGTTCTAATCATGGCAGCCCCATTTCCCACCAAGCTCCCTGCTTGTGGCCTGGGAAAGTAGTTGGGAATGGCTCAAACCTTGGGACTCTGCATCTGTGTGGGAGACCCAGAAGAGCTCCTGGCTCCCTGCTTCAGATCAGGGCAGCTCCAGTCATTGTGGTCACTTGGGAAGTGAATCATCTGATGAAAGATCTTCCTCTCTGTCTCTCCTCCTCTCTGTGTATCTGCCTTTCAATTTCAAAAAAAAAAAAAAGAAAATCTTCCACATCTTTACAACCTCAAAATCCTTTTTTCACATCCATTAACAAGAAACACAGTATGATGAATGAACACACTAATTACTGGTATAAGCTAAGGTGTACTGCAAACTAAATAAGCTATCCTAAAACAAAAACAGAACAAGTCATGCAATGTTAAGTTACATGAGGGAAAAGCTTGGATAAAGAATTTTGGTGCCACTATTACCTAGTTACAAAAAATGTGGGTCCACGTTTTGAAAATGAAATTTTAAAGTCACAATGACATCAGCAAAAAATCTCTACAATTTCTACAATAACACATAAGAAATCTTTTCCCAAATCTATTATCTTGGGCAGAATACACATGCAACTAAATCAGGTTCTCAAATAATGCAAATGGTATGCAGGTTCAAGAAAATGTCCTATGGATTCTTAAGACTCAGACAAGGTAGGCCCTTAGGAAAATCTGGTAGCTGCTAAGGATTAATACGTGGAAGGCAGTACTCATCACTGTTTCCTATTGTCAATTCCCACCCTCCAAAAATTAAGTTGTCAATAAATTTGAAAAACAAAAACATCTTCAGGTTAAACAAACCATAAAACATTTAAACTACTGTCACACAATGGTTAAGTACAGACATGTACTAAGTATAGTAACGACACTAATCTCTCTCTTCTGTATTTAAAATGTAACTCTACCTTTCAAACATTTTATGTTGAATTTTAAAAACTGTCATGTCATGAAACAGGACGTAAGTTTATTATATAGGTCATGTTTTTCTTATATAAATAACCAGAACTAAATTAAGAGAATTTATTTTCTTTTATAAACATCAACAGCACCATCTATAGGTAAAACTTAAGTTAGCATGTTTTTCATTGAAAGTCTGATTCTTCAAGCAATTCAATATGCCTTTGTCTACAAAATGCATATGCCAGTATGTGCATGTGTTTCTAGGAATTTCTGAAAAGTCTTTAATAGTCTATAACTCCAGGGAAAAAAAAATACAGAGAACAAAATCCACAAGAGAGAAAGAAGCTAATGGAGGTTTATAGAAGGAACTACCACTAGTCATTAAATGAGATTTTCACTGGCTCTGAAAACTTTAATCCCTTTCCTGTATCAACATCCCAACACAAATAGCTATCAGGAATTGTTGACTACCATGAAAATATTTTCAGAGTAACCACTGCAACTGTATCTTTTAAATGTTCCTTTTAAGTGTAGTCCGGACTTGTACTGAAGCCTACCTCCAGCTGTAATTCTGTATACTTCCTCCTAAGTTCAGTGACTTCTTCTCCAGCTTGCATCTTCTTATATAGATCCAACTCTGTATCAAGCAATTCTTTTTGCATCTAAAAAGAAAAATGAGCATTTTAGGTAACAACGCTCAATATATTCAATTTCTATGAAAATTTTTATGGGGAACTTTTATATATCCCCATTTATATTCCCATATATTCCTTTTTTTATTCCCAGCTCACTGTACTTGAAGCCATCAACCCTCTGTCCCACAATGCTGAAACAGCCTCCTTGCTATTATTTCTACTGTTTTTTCATAATTCATTTTGGGTGCAACAGCAAGAGTGAGATTTGATGGGATGATATCAAGCCATTTTCACAAAATAACTGAGAAAAAGCCGTTTTAACAAAAAGGGAAGGACACAACCAAAAAAACAAGGTGCTAACAAGCAATATATAAAATGCTTTTCTAGGGTCAGAAGCGTGTCCTAGCGGCTAAAGTCCTCGCCTTGAACGCACCGGGATCCCATATGGGCGCCGGTTCTAATCCTGGCAGCTCCACTTCCCATCGAGCTCCCTGCTTGTGGCCTGGGAAAGCAGTAGAGGACGGCCCAAAGCCTTGGGACCCTGCACCCGTGTGGGAGACCCGGAAGAAGTTCCTGGCTCCTGGCTTTGGATAGGCATAGCATTGGCCACTGTATTCACTTGGGGAGTGAATCATCGGATGGAAGATCTTCCTCTCTGTCTCTCCTCCTCTCTGTCTCTCCTCCTCTCTGTATATATGACTTTCCAATAAACAAATAAATCTTAAAAAATAAATAAATAAAAATAAAAGAGTAAGGATCTGTTTAAAAAAAAAAGTAATCCTATAACAGACTTCTGATTTTATATTTTTTGTGGAATATACAGGTATTAAGTCAGTAAAGAATGAAATAAGTTTTTATGTTTACTGCATTTTCATGTTTAGGTGTTGGAAATAGTATCATTGCAGCAATTTTGACACTGTTGAATGTTTTACAGGACTATCTATGAATAATATAATGCCATCAGTAGCCACAAACTGCCTTTATAGAGACAGAAATTAAGAAGAAAAAGAACTACATGGTATAAGACTACAATTAATAGTTTTAATGATTTTACACATATACATAGAGTAGAAATATTGTATAATACTATTTTTCTTTAATCACTTATTAAATCTGAAATCAACTACTTTATTTTTATCTAAAAATTCATCTACCTGGATTTTTTTTCCTTTCCAATCAACGCATTCTGTACAGCGCTGCCAGAGTATTACTTCTCTTTTGTTAACTATTAAATCACAATCCACTCAGTTAAGCCAAACTCTTCACTCAATTACCTTTACCTTTTCAAGTTTATCAGATTGTCCTGATTACTGACTTTGCAACTGTTAATTCCACAGTATTCAAAAGATTGATAGTGTTTACTTAAAGAAGTATGAACACAAATTAAACTACCTGAGTCTTGGTCTTTATACTTTTTGGAAGACAGCGACCAGGAGACGCAGCTTTGACCTCATCTTTCAATTTGGTGATATTTTTTGTCAAAACTTCAAGAGTTTTCATGATTTCTGCTTTATCTTCAGATTTCATTGTTTTATTTTTCTCCAGTTTTGAAATTAGCATCTGTAGAATTTTTAAAGAGAAAAATCTGATAATTACTTCTACCACAATTAAAAAAGCAAAAGTAGCAAAATATGTCTAAAAAGTAAATAATACCACCTTTAGTTTATGCGTTCGACTTAAAACTACTAAATATTTAAAGAGAACAGCAGACTTGAAGACACTAACTAAAACTCCATTCAAGTCTTACTCTCATTTTGTTGTTGTTGTTTAGAATTACATTGCTACTTAAAACTCTCAGAAAATAAGTTCAAAGCACACAACCAGGCCTGGCATGATGGCTCAATTGGCTAATCTGCCCCTCTTCAATCACTGGGATCCCAGCTGGGTGCTAGTTGGTATTTCGCTGCTCTACTTCCCATATAATTTCCTGCTTGTGGCCCAGGAAAATAGAGGAAATAGCCCACAGCCTTGGAAACCTGTGCCCAGGTGAGGGTCACAGAGGATGCATCTGGCTTCGATCATCTCAGCTCTGGTTGTTGCGAACATTAGGGAGTAAGCCAGCAGATGGAGGATTGTTCTATCTTATTTAACTTTCCATTAAAATAAAATAAGCAAAATCAAAACAAAAGAACACACACATACAACCAGCAAAATTTCAACCAATTCCTGAGATGATGTCAATATGAAACATCAAAATTTGTACTTTCTAATCCAGCTGTTGACATTATTATCTCTTAAGTATTCACATACCCAGTGGAGTACACAACCTAGAATTTGCGGTGGGACCATTTTATAAAGCCTATCATACAATAAAGTATTAGAAAAACTGAATGTTTACACTATCACAGGGAACAACTGATTAACAAATAAAATACCTGACATGGTTAGGAAGGTTATTTAAAAAGGATGAAAGAAATCATAAAATGAATAGTTTTAAGTCAAAATGTATTCAGTCTTAGATGCTAAGCTTCATTATTTTCTCCTTATCAACTGCATTCAAGTTTGAATTAGAAAAGAAAATTTCAAATTGAAATGTGATTTCTGTTTTTCAAACTTTTCAATGTTATACTAATACCTTTCATTAACACGCAAAACAACTGACACAATCAAAAACTAATGCTGATTGAATGTCAAAAAATTAGAGCCACACTGTCCAAAAGAAATAATGTGAGTCACATAGATTATCTTTAAGTTTCCAGGAGTAGTTGTGTAAATACACTTAACTCAACATAGTAAGGATATTACATTTCAACAAAAATTGAAATTATTTTACTCTTTTCTTCATCCTTAAAATTCACTGCATATTTTAGACTCACATTTCTATTTGATGAGACACATTACAAATGCTTACTTAGTCCCACTACTATATTGGACAACAGGACTTCAGGATCCCAAGCAAATAACCACATCTATCAACCTTGAGGAAAAGGTTCCCAATTCTTTATCTGTTGAGTAAACTTCTGCACAGCAAGAGCTAAATAAATACTATTTTTCTTCACTTCATGTTAACGCACTTAAATGAAATGCATCTAAAGCATACTTATCTAACTTAAGCTTTTCTATTTCAATACCAGAGTATTTCAAAAGGTATAGAAAACACAGCTAAAAAGGTTTCTTTTGGAGCAAAATATCTTATAAACCCAGGTACTGTTTTTGATAATATGCATTTTCCATGGATAAAAAAGACCTCTCGTGCACCTGAATTTCAAAGCTTTTCTACACCAAAATAACTTACATATATTATAGCTCCATTTTCCATGAGCTTTTTGTAATTACCTTATACTTCAGCTAACAGAAATTCATGTCAATTCCTAAAAAGTTTTCAATTTGAAATAGCAACAACTGTATTTTGTTATTACTGCTTCTAAGTAGTTCTACTCTGAATATAATCTGTAATGTATATTTACATTAATAATAAAACACATTAGACTGATAGTAGCAGAAATATTTCCCTTCACCAATCATAGTAATATAATTGGTCTGTCTACTCTTTTTCAGATTAAATTCACTATAATAATATTTGCAAATATATTCTGCCAAATATAACTTTAATATTTTACCTTTTGTGTTTCAATGTGCTTTTCTAAAATTTCTTGTTTCCTTTTTCTTACATCCTGCTGAAGTTTCAGTGCCTCCTAGAGGATAAAAAAAATTATACAAGAGAAGTGTGGCTGTAATTGTATTAGCATGGCAACAAAAATTAGACGCAAACTTTTGCAATTTAGAGCTTGAACACATGTGTGTTTAAAAAGAGCAATTAACAGAAACTTTTAAATAAGAAAACTGTTTCTAGTACAATATGAAAAATCAAAGTTTTAGTGGCAACCAACACTTTTTAGTCTTTTATTTTATGATATGATAACCTTCGAAATGGCACTTGCACCAAGAAAAGCCCCTCACAAGCAAATTCTGTGCACTATACTCTGTACACTTACCTGCTTCTTTTTCTGTGCTTCATTATTATCAACTGCAGACGTGGAAACCAGTAAGGTTTTTTGTGCAGCCTTCAATGCAGCTGGGTTATACACTGTTTTAGTTAGACCAGTAGATGTAGACAACACCTATTAACACAAATTCAATTTCTTAAAAATGTCATTAACCATTCATCATGATTTCCTAAGTCCTACTTTCTGCAGAAATTTTGCACATTGTGCTAAATACACTCCATACTTACAGTAACTAAATTGCAAATGGTGATTTGAAAGGAGCAGAAATGAGAAAATAAGCCCTAATATTTAAAAAGTTTTCAATTACCAAGTATCTACAGCAAAACAGAAAAAATAAAAAGCATCAAATTAAGATAAAACATTACTCTTGCTATATCATTCTGAATGCCTTACTGCTATTTGAATGGAATAAAGCAAAAACTACACTCAAAAATACGGCACATGAAGAAACTAGGTGTTATCCTTCAAACAATTTGTTATATTTCGCAATCTGCAATGTTGAAATTAATCCTATTACGTTAATTCTCCAATTCTAGCTAGCAAAGTTATCTTCAGCCCGAGGTGATCTTATCCTCTTAAACACAGCTTAGTGTAACAGGATCGAGACATTTACAAACTCTCAACGATTTCACTCTTCTACCCCAGGTCCACATACAAAATCTATTCTTTCAGTTAAGAGATAGAACCCTAATAGTTTCTTTTGGCTAGCACTACCAATTTGGTAAAAAGAATATAACAAAAAAAAAAGGAATGTAATATGTATTAGTTTATGCATCTTTGTGTTGTTTGCTTATAATGAATCTTAAAAGACCACACCTTTTTCCTTTCAACCTGCTTCCAGAATTTCAGACTCACTACATAAATAAGTCTGAGCAGAGATAAGATTAAGCATCTTGGGCCCGGCGCGGTGGCGCAAGTGGTTAAGGTCCTCACCTAGCACGCCCGGGATCCCGTATGGGCACCGGTTCTAATCCCGGCAGCCCCGCTTCCCTTCCAGCTCCCTGCCTGTGGCCTGGGAAGGCAGTCGAGGACAGCCCAAGGCTTTGGGAACCTGCACCCGCGTGGGAGACCCGGAAGAGGCTCCTGGCTTCGGATCGGCATAGTATCGGCCCGTTGCGCTCACTTGGGGAGTGAATCATCGGACGGAAGATCTTCCTCTCTGTCTCTCCTCTCTGTATATCTGCCTTTCCAATGAAAAAATAATAAAAATAAATCTTTTAAAAAAAAAAAATTTATTAAAAGATTAAGCATCTTTTGGGCCCTCCGATTGTTCATCTATAAAAATAGGAAATTAAATATGATGGTGTCTGATTTTTTTTTTAAGAAAAATCCCGCAAAGCTAAAGATTGTTGATGCTGTTGTTTCCACGCATCTTAAAGGTATAAGCAGTGCCAAGGCTCAAAAAAATTAACATTTCTGCAATAAACTGAAATGACTATAAGTTAAAGAGAATATTCTTTCCTATAAAGGATGAATTTTTAAAAAGTGTTCATAGGCTGGCCTTTGTTTCCTTTAAAACAAAAATTACAAATTTAATGGGATGGTTATTGATTACAGAAATAAGCCTATGTATCTTTTTAGCAACATCTACCAATGTTATCAAAACTAAATATGAAAACTTATGTGTGAACACCACCATTTTCCAGAGGAAAAAAGTATTTTTGTGTCTTAGGAGTTTATGATTTAAAAAGATTAAAATAACTATGCAAATGAAGAATAACAGCAATGAGAAAATGGTCCTATCTTTTAGCTAATTAAAGGTTACCTGGTTAAACACCATAGTTATAGTAATCCAGAAGCCATTTCATAAATTTTTATGAAGAAATTAGATTAAGGAACATTACATTTGCTTAAGCAATTCATCACTATACTAAGAATGCCAGCTTATAAAAGAAATAAGTGAAATGAAAGCCCAAGCACGGTTAAGGTATCAGTTGGGACAGCCTCATCTTGCTTAGGGGTACGAGGGATGCAACGTAGCTTTGCTCCTCATTCTCATTTCCAGTTACAACAGATTTTGGGTGGCAGCAGGTGATGGCTCAAGAAAATAGCACCCTCTCAGCCGTGTGGGAGACCAGAACAGAGTTCCTGACTCCTGGGCTTAACCTAAGTCCCAGGTACAACAGGCATTTAGTCAATGAACCAGCAGTGGAAACTGTTTCTCCCTCTGTTTCTTAGATAAAAGATAAAAACTAAAAACAACTAAGTTCAAAAAACAGAAACACAGAATATTATAATTGTTCCACAGTACAACTAATATTTGAAAACGAAAGTTCTTAAATATTACATGATACATACCAAAATTTGGCAAGTTTCTTCAGTGATAAAAAAAAACTCACACCTGGGTAGGTATCATCAATAGTATTAAATGACTGTGTCATTAAAACATAGCATGAACAGATTTAGTTTGTAGTATAATTTCAGTGACTGTTTCCTACAATTCTAGAGAACAACGTCCTTCACCCTCTCTTATCATGTCAAATGTTAAACTTTTTGATGCATGTTTTTAAGGGTAAAAACACAGAAAACAATGTTTTATAAATTTTTCTTCATGAGGGCCTTCTAACAAAGGAAAAATTGAAACCAAAAAAGATTCCTATTGCCAAGTAAGTTGAAAACAATATTACCATACTATTCAGGCTCAATGGTTATTATCATAACAAGAGCAGTGAAAAGTATTGAAGTAAGGAAACCCATATAATTGATCTAATATCGTATTTCTCCAACTTCAATGAAGAGACTATTCCTTCTCAAAGTATCCTCACATCTGAAAACAAAGCACAGCTGGCTCCAAGTGAGTAAGTAGTTGAGAACACTCTTACTCCTACAAGCACTCCCATATCATTTTTCTCCCAGGAACTTCCCTCTCTAAAAATACATTTCCACTCACATATTTAATCAAATCCAAGGAACAATGTCTGTAAAAAATACTATACTTTTATATATCCATTTTAAAGAAAGCTGCCTGTTATAATCATAAACACCAATAGCTATGATATGTAGTCTAATTTCAGAGGTTGTTAAAACACAAAAATGTTTTAAAACAAGGAATTTTATGATTACAGATATTTCTCATTATTTTTCATCTATTTCGTTATAGAATTTGGACAGCCAGAAGACGTATGAAATATACATATGCAGCAGTGACAAATCCACCAGAAAAGAAGATGCTACAATTCCTTGAAAACATAGTCAAAGCACAGAGTGGCCTTTCTAAGCAATCATATCTTTTCCAAATGGAGTTCTGCACGTTGCAGCAAAACAAATATTTTCAAATAAACCTAATTTTCTATAAGAAAAATAACCAAGGTAACATCTTGAGACAGGCAATACATTAAAAGATGAAAATCAAAAATACTAACACTTATAAGAAGGGTGAGGAGCCTAAGTCTTCGTATTTAACATGCAAAACTATGCAACAAATCCAAACTTCAAAATACCAAAGAGTTACCAGAGAAACCATACATGTTAAACATGTTCAGCCTCTTACACTGTGGCAGCTGCTAAGTCAATAGCTAAAGCCTCTATACTATGCAGTGCACTTGCAGTTATGCATACATTTTCCCTTTTTAAAGTTCTGTGATACAGCTGTGATGTAGTTATAAATCACCATGCAAAACAACCAAGATTTTCAGATTGCAAAACCATTATGTGATCTTCAAAAGTGCAAAAAAATGCACATTACGAAAAAAATCCATTGATTTCAAATTTTTCATCAAAATAAAGTTTTAGTTTCGTTTTTCCCAAGAATCTTCTGAAGTTACCCTTAAAGTAATAGTATTAGCTCTAAATGAATATCCATTTATTCCAAAGGTATACAATTCATCTCTAATGGCAATAATGAAAAGAATATACCATAGTATTTTGTAAGTCAGAATTAAACTTCAATTTTAGAGTCCAAATCTTAACATAAAATTACGAAACATAACCAGATGTTTACACACATCCAGCAGTATGTTAACAGATTTTTTAATGTTTTTAAATTCTTAAATCACTTATCAGAGCACAAATCTAAACAAAATGAATATTTGATATTGCGACATTTAGTAGCACAGACTAAATCACACAGAAACTCAGAGGAACATCAAAGTCTAGTCAGATATTGACCTTTAAAGAATGGTGAGATTTTAAACAGGTAAACAAAAAAAGAAAGAAAGAAACAGCAGGAAAAGGAATGAGGAACATCAAGCAGAAAAGTACATCCTATGGTGAAAAAGAAAGACTATATAGCAAAAGTCACAGAACCAGAATAACTGAGGAACTGATGAGCTGTGAATCAAGCAAAGTAAGCTGAGAAACTTAAAGTTTCTATAATGAACGAACATTAAAGTAACCCTGAGAGTAGGATGGTATTAGTGTAATTAGGGAGGAAATTCTAGGATGCTAGCAAAGACAGGCATCCAGAGGCCAGTGATCTAAAAGTAGTAAACAAAACACAAACAGATTACAAAAAAAAAAGACTGTAAAGCTTTCAGATTTTATGGTTTAGGAAGTGGTGGTATCACTTCCAGAGTTGGTAGCTAGAAGTTAATTTTTATGGGACCAAATGAATGTATTTCAGGCATGTTATGACTGAGACATCCAAAGTAAAGTCTGATGCACAAAATGAGATTCAGATTTCAATTTCCAGTACTGCCTGTTTAACACAGCAAATAAGGAAAAAATATTAAGGAACAAGTAAAAAAGAGCAGGTCAGATGTTTGGAGGTTTTCTTCATCTGTGAAGTCAATTTCCGTTGTAATCTTCAGCATGGTAAGAACCATAGAATAGGAAGCCCAGATTCTAATTGTGGCTTGGTGGTAATGCATAGTCTGTAGTGTAATTCGTAATTATTTGGGCTTTAATTTTTTAAGTAGATATATACATTTGAGAGATTATCTAACTCTAATATTCTATAATTCCATATACCTCATTTAAGACTAGAGATCATAGTAATTACTAACACATAAACAGAAAAAAATATCTACACAGAAGACTCTAAGTCAGATGCATAAGTGGTCTTAAAACAATCAGTATTTATGCCTTCATGTAAAAGCAAATGAGTAAGTGTATTGTCAGAGTACATCAACAACTGAGTGCAATAAAAAAACAATTTAGAATATTCTTTCCAGTTTACAAAACGATTTATTTAATCTTTACAAAACCAGTGAGCAAAACAATTATCATTACCATTTTTCAGATGAATAGAAAGATTCAGAAAAGTGAAGAGTACTGCCCAACATCATGCAGTTAGTAAGTAAAGGGCTAGGGCTCAAACTCAGGTAAAACGCTAACTCAAGGCCCTAATAATTAGGCTTGTCAGTGTTTTCAAATTACATAATACAGTATCTCTAAAGAAAATAAGTAAATAAAAAAACAATGGAGCACATAAAAATACAGTGAGGCAAGTATTAAAATGCTGAAGCAAAAATGTAAAAAAAGATAAGCAAATATTCTTTTTCAGCAAATGGAAAGCAAAAAGGTTGGAACAAGATACAGATACTATTAAGAAGCAAGTTTGAAACTATGAAAAAAATTAAAAATTAAGATGCCACCTGAAAACATTTATGAAGCCAAGACAAACACATCATGCTATTCTTCTTACCTTTTCAGTTGCTGAAACAGATGGCTTTGATACAAAACCCAACCTGTCCTTCACAGATAACTTAGTTACATTCTAAAAAAATTAAAATGGACATATTCAGTGTTTTCCCAAAAATATGTCTGCTGGGATTTCGAACATTCTGATTTTATTATGATATACAGAGTCTACGTTTACTAATACTAATACAGAAACGTAGGCCTTTGGTTAAAAAAACAAACCAAAAAAGAGACAATGTGTGTGGAAAACAAACAAACAAAAAACAGTATGCAATATTATTGCAGCATGAAAAAGCATGATGTAAAGTAAGAGGTCTGAATCTGGTGGTTGCTAAAGTCTCTTCCGCTGGTACAGAATCACCAATCTTTAGAATCTTACATTAACAAAGAGCTTACATTTTAAATAACAGATATAATTCAGATAAGTGCCTACGTCTACATAGAAATTAAATGTTCTTTTTCCTAAAGTATGTTTTGTACCTAAATATATTGTATTTGGTGACAGGACATAAGGTTGGGGGAATTTTTAAAAATAATATTTATTGAATTACACTTTGCATATTCTGCATGATACTCTTTGAAAGACCAGAAAGGTGGCATCTATTAGCTAAGTAAGGTTCTACATACTAACCCTGTTTCACACAGTAAATGCTGAAACATCTGGAGACAAGCAACGGTTTATTTCAGAGAGCGAGAATGTAGAAACAAGAGCCTGCCACTCGAGAGTAGAAGGAAGTGGGGAGGAAGTGACATACAGAAGAGAATCCCAGACTCGGGACCAAGTGATGCAAAGGTCTGAGAGTTGGTTAGTGCTCAGAATGGTAGACTATTAAGCAGGATTTATCCATCACAAAACTTTCACATCAGACTACTACAAATATCTTTGCAACTGAATTCTAAGTAACAAGATGATAGAAAAAACAAGACTGAGTGCATTCAATTTCGTTCTTCAGGTGGTTTTGTTGAAAATATCTTTTCCATAAAGTAAAAAAAAAAAAATCAACAAATATTAATTAGAGCAAAGAATTTAAGATTCAAATACTGTAAGAGAAGCAGAGAGAGAATGTTATGGAAATGGTAAAAACACAACAAAAAACCAATAAGTGATAGACAAAGCTCAAACATGTAAAGACCGGTATATCTCTGTGTACAACTTACACAAGTAACTATAATCAACAACCACAGAAACTACATTATGTCACAAGGACAATGGTAAACCTTGCATTTACCTGAGGAAGTTCTGCACTGGCACTCTGGGCTTCTGCTGGCTCAACAGTACTTGAAGGTACTGGACCCAACCGCTCTTTGACTGACTGTTTCACAACAGGCAAAATAGGTTGCTGGACTAAAGGCTGTAGGACCTAACAAGAAGGAAAAAAATGCAAAACAAACCAATTACTTTAGAAACATGAAAATTAACTTGCGATCTTTTATACTAAATTATCCCTGCACAGAAACTTTTAAAAAATGTAGTCCACAGTTGAAACGACTTTTGGATCTCTTACACATGAGTAAAAATCTTCTCTTTAAAAAAAGAATCATTTATTCTTATAGACAAAAAACTTAAATCCATCCTTCAATCAAAAATAGAATTATAATAAACCTCTACAAATGATCAATCTAACACCACACAGTAGGCCTTCTTTTGGGAGATACGTAAGTACACTGTTTCATTCTTATTGCAGATTTTAGTAACTGGAAAACTTCTTCTTTTCCTAATCTTCTTTATTAAGAACTTCCACCTTTCTAACTACTGGAAGCACCTGGGCTTATTTATGGCACAAACTGGTAGTCATCACTATTTTTGCACTTGAATAAAATAAGTTACATGAACGTAAGCATTTCAAGACAGTGACAATGGGTCTAACTTAGTATGTAGCAGGGACAATGGACAAAACGGTGCCTGGTGTGGTGGTTGAAGTCATCACCTGGCACACTCAGGCATCCCTTATGGGCGCTGGCTCGTGTCCAGAGGCTCCACTTCCCTTCTAGTCCCTTGTTTGTGACCTGAGAAAGCAGTAGAAGATGGCCCAAAGCCTTTGGACCCTGCAGCTACCCAGAAAACCCAGAAGAAACTTCTGGTTTTGAATTAGCTTAGCTCTGGCCTTTGCAGTGACTTGGGGTGTAAACCAGTGGATGGAAGATCTTTCCGCCACTCCTTCTCTCTGTAAATCTGACTTTCCAATAAAAGTAAATAAATCTTAAAATCTTAAAAAAAAAAACCTGATGGATAAAAGACTAACTTGAGTTACATCTTGGAGACCTTGCAAGAATTCATTATGATACTCAGAACAGCACACAATTTTTCTCCTACCTTTGGGGAAGTATTTTGTAACTGTTGAGTGCTTCCTTCTCTGTGCCAATAAACCTTAATAAAGCGATTATTTAACACTGCTTCTGTACTTGATATTGCTTTCTTTGCTTCTTCATAAGTTGCAAACTGGATAAGAGCACCTTCAGGATCACCATTATAGGCTACCTAAAATGTAAATTATTAAAAACAATGAATTTCCAAAGGAGTATTTCGCCCATTCCGTAAATTCACTCAAGAAGATAAATAAATGGTAGCCTATCTTTATGCTTCCTTCTATTGCAATTATTGTCAGAGTCTACTTTCACTCCAGGAAAAAACAGTAGCAGAATGCTCATGTTATAAAAAAGAGCCTTTTTTATACATATAACAATAGAATCCTACTTGCAGATGTTACATAAAGACACCTGAAATGTTCTCTTTTTACTCTGAATATAATGCTGATTATGAAAAAATAACACCTGTATCAATCAGTGGCATGGCCAAGATCCACAAAATGTAGGAGTGATCTCTAAAAATTACAGAAAAACCCATTTGTATAATAGTCTAGATTTATAATTTTCAGAGTATTCAACAAAGCTCAAGAAAATTTAAGAACATAAATAACAACCATAACAGACTTGCCACATGAGGAAATCAGAATTCAAGGAATATGATCCTGTAGACTAACATAATACAGTATAAATGCATGAGTTCTCAGCAAATCTCCAACGTTTTCAATAATGAATTTTTTCTATCTTTTTAAAATTATTATTATTTGGAAGTGAGAGTTAATAGACAGGAAGAGACACAGAGAGAGGTCTCCATCTGCTGCTCCCCTTTCCAAGTGGCCACAACAGTCTGGGCTGGGCCAGGCTGAAGCCACGAGGCTGAAGCTTCTTCTGATCTCCTAAATGTACGTAGGAACCCAAGTACTTGAGCCATCTTCTGCTGCTTTCCCGGGCACATTAGCACAGAGCTGGACTTAAAGTGCAGCAGCTGGGTATTACGTTGGCACCCATTCGGCATGACAGCGCCATACCTACTATTCCACAATGCAGCCCCAATAATCAGTGTTTTCTATAGTCTGGAATATAAATCACTGGCGGTATGCAGCAATCCACAGAAAAGACTGAGAGCAAAGTCTGAATCAAACTGTCTGGCTCAAGCACTGGAAGCTGTTCTCACCTAAGCATAAATTAATTATTATTTAAGTTCTCTTGACTCAGTTTCCTCTTTCATAAGAACAGTAACAGTATGCATTTCATAGTGTTAAGAATGAAATAATTTGGGCCCAGTGTGATAGCCTAGTGGCCAAATCCTTGCCTTGCATACACCACGATCCCATAAGGGCACAAGCTGGTTCATGTCCTGGCTGCTCTACATCCCTTCCAGTTCCCTGCCTGTGGCCTGGGAAAGCAGTGGAGGATGGCCCAGAGCCTTGGGACCATGCACCTACATGCAAAACCGGGAGGAGGCTCCTGGCCCCTGGTTTTCGACTGGCTCAGCTCTGGCCATTGCAGCTTTGTGGGGAGTGAACCAGTGAACGGAAGATTTTTCTCTCTATCTCCTCTCTGTGTATCTGCCTTTCCAGTAAAAAAAAAAAAAAAAGTCTTAAAAAAAAGATGGGCTCGGTGGCGTGGCCTAGCAGCTAAAGTCCTTTCCTTGAACACGCCCAGAATCCCATATGGGCGCTGGTTCTAATCCCGGCAGCTCCACTTCCCATCCAGCTCCCTGCCTGTGGCCTGGGAAAGCAGTCAAGGACGGCCCAAAGCCTTGGGACCCTGCACCCGTGTGGGAGACCCGGAAGAGGTTCCTGGTTCCCGGCTTTGGATCGGCTCAGCCCTGGCCATTGCAGTCACTTGGGGAGTGAATCATCAGACGAAAGATCTTCCTGCCTCCCATCCTCTCTGTATATCTGACTTTGTAGTAAAAATAAATAAATCTTAAAAAAAAAGAGAGATGATTTTAAGTAACATGTCTATAATCAAATAATTACCAGAATCTAAAAACATGCAAGTTCACTGTGATACAATGCATAAAGTCACTGCCTGCACCTCCACAGCCCATATGGGCACTGGTTTGAGTCCCATTAGCTCCACTTCCCATCCAGCTCCCAACTAATGTGCCTGGGAGAGTAGTGAAAGAGGGCCCAAGTACTTGGGTCCCCACACGCATGTGGAAGACCCTGGAGAAGCTTCAGGCTGCTGGCTTTGGGATAACTTAGCTTCAACAGTTGCAGCAAGTTAGGGAGTGAGCCAGCAGATGCAGTATCTTTCTCTTTCTTTAACTCTGCCTTTCAAACCAACCAAACAACCTCTTAAAAAGTGTTTAAAAAGAAAGTTTCAGGCTCCTGGCTTCTGCCTGGCTAGGCCTACATATAGACAGAGGATCTTTCTGTCTTCCTCTATATCACTTCGGAGATAGCCAGACAGATAAGATTACATTAGATTATATTATATTAGATTAGATTTAGATTAGATTAGATAGACCAACCTTCAAACATTCATTGAAAATAATAATTACAGTTCTTGGCCATCCAGTGAGCCATTTGGGGACTAAATCGGCAAATGGAAGATCTCTGTGTGTCTCTCCTTGTCTTTGTAATTGTCTTTCCAATGAAATAATTTTCAAAAACGTATAAATGTATTCCATCAGAGCTGGTACAAAGAAATTTTTCTAAAGTGTTATTTATTAAAGTACTCAGATGAGACTGAAAAACTGAAAAACTAAAAACTAAAAGGGCAAATCTTTGTGTGATGATATTAACTTTTCTATAATTTTATGAAAATCTCCAGGCAAAAATTTTATAAAAATATGACCAATTTACACTGCTTCTTAAGAGCTTTTTTAACATCAGAATTTTTCTAAAGGTTGTTTTATGTCAGGCCCAGTTTTCCAAATTTATACTACTTACAAATTATCCCTAATACTCCTTATCTCATTAGGTTCCCTTTAAATAATTAGATGACAATCATTTAGTGGCTCTCACCTGTAGGTTAACCAAGGTTCCAAATCGACTAAAATGTTCATTAAGTTTGCTGATATTATTTAACTCTGGAGGAACTTTTCTAAGTTCTAGTTTGGTGTTCTCATTTCCAAACTGAACCTTCTTCTGAAAGCCTGGGCTGTTCGTCCTGTTAAAGTTAGGTCTACAAACAAAATAAAGTTAATTAATACATTTTTAAGTCCTGACCCTTACTGAACTACAAAATAATAGTTTTACATGCATAGCCAATGTCAAGCTAAATCCACCCCTCCTTTAACACACACAAAAGGGTTGACAAAAGAAATTTAAAATTTCTTCAAAATAACACAGCTCATAATTAAGTAACATTAACATCTTTCATGCAGCCAGCTTACAAGGATTCTGCCCCAGCATTTTTAACTTTCTGCATAACATTCTTGGCAAAAAAAAAAGAAAAAAAAAGGTTCTCTCTGCCTATTTCAATCTGCATGTAACTGATTCTGATTGTGCAAGAGCTGGTTTACCGGAAGAGCTCTTAAGGCTTTAGCGAAAAATATAATCCGAAATTTTACTTTGTTTGATACAAAGAATGACTTTCAAATTCTTTCTAGCTTAAAAAAAAAAAAGAAAAAAGAAAAAAAAATTGTTAGAAATACAAACCACACATTTGGCAGTGATCCTCGCCTCTCAGCACATCCCCTTGCCACCTACCACTGCTTCCTTATCGCTTTCTTTAAAGCCCTTCCTTGATAGTTCAGTGCCTATCCAACTTCCCCAACCCCATGCCTTTTTCAGTCAAGAGAAACTGAACATATGCTAGTCTCTTCCCAGACCTGAGCCACGCCTCCCTCATGAAGAGGGGCTTCTGACCAACATAAATACAGTTTGTATTCAATGACATATATAAGTTAGAAAAGAGTTCTTTTGGAAAAAAGGGGAATGGAAAGGAAAAAATTGTGTTTTCAACTATTACATTTTTTTCTAAGAAAACTCCTTTATAATAAATAACAGGTGACTAGTTTCTTAAATTTTTCATTCTTTAGAAAATTTTTATTTTGTGCAATTTCCTACATAATATAATAAACTTTTTAAAAAGAAAATAATACATGAAATCTGTCAATTTTATCTTACTTATCAAACCAAGTCTTCTTTGTAGGAACTCCAGGCTCCCCAGAACCAATGGTTCTTTTCCTTGACTCTGAGTCCACCACTATCCTCATACTGCTTTTATTAGGTGGCTTTTCTGTTTTAAAACAAAACAAAAACCTGGATTAGTATTTTCTGTTTATCATGCTTACTTCCTTAAACAGTATAATTTTGCTTTTTTGTCCAACTTTATTCTTTGCAGAACACACAGATACAAACCCCCACTCAAGAGTAGGAATTGGGCTAGCGGCTCAGAGATCAAATTCCCGCCACAGACTACCTATGCGATCCCTGGCTCCTGCTCATGACTCCAGGAGACCCCAGGAAACAGTATGGCTCTAGGAACTTTGCTGCCATCCACCTGGGAGACACGCACTCAGTCCCCAGCTCTCAGCTTTGACCCAGCTGAACCAATGCAGGCATTTGCAGAATTAAGCAATAGATGGAAACTCTCAGATTCTCCCTCTTTCTTTCAGCCCCTCAAATAAATCAGTAAAATGCATTTTAAAATAGAGAAACTTGAAAGATTTTTAAACTATTAAAATGTACCCTTCCCTCTTACATTTAACTATAAAGAAAAAAAAATTTTCACATCACATCAAAATGTGACTGAGGTCACTTGTTGTCTAAGCACCACATCACTACTCCCATGTGCATTACATCCACCACAAATACAAAAGTATTCAAGTGAACAACACATCACCTGCAGAGTCAAGAGTTCTGAAACCAGACAGACTCAAATATAACACTAATACAATGATACTTCAGAATTGCTAGCAATTGTGAGTGAACTGCTTATATCAACAGCAACATATTAACTTAACGAAAGCATATTTTAAAAAGAAAATATAAGACAGACACCCTACTATAAGTAATGGTACTTAAACAACTTACTTAATCAAGCAGGATTAGATAAGCACAGTTTAATCTGAATTCCAGAAGACTTCAAAATTTAAAATATCCAAACCCTAAACTACATAAAAATATAATTTTAATTTTAAAATGCTATTCATACTCAACAGTTTGAAGGGCAAAGCATCACGAGAGAGAGAAAATGAACCAAGTGGTTCCAGTCACTACTTCATATTCAAATGCCTCCAACAGCCAAGACTGGACAAAGCACAGCTAGCAACTAGGAACTGCACCTCTGCCTTCCACAGAAGTGGCAGGGCCTGAGCATTCAAGCCGTCATTACCGCCCCCGCAGGACGCACTAGCAGGGGCCTGGAGCAGCAGGCACTCAAATCAGCATTCAAACATGGACTGCCGGCGTCTCAAACCTGCTCTGCAGAACATGAGCCCAGAAACATGCAATTTTTAAATACCCTTTTTAAAGATGAAAAAAATTGACTGTATAAAATTCCACTGTTAACAAATCTCTAAGCAGATCACCAATCAAAAAAAGTTTCAGCACAATTTTTCATGATTACAATTATAATATCCATGAGGAAAACATACCAATTTTTTTAAAGATTTATTTATTTTTATTGGAAAGGCAGATATACAGAGGAGGAGAGACAGAGAGGAAGATCTTCCATGCGATGGTTCACTCTCCAAGTGACCGCAACAGGTGGAGCTGAGCCGATCCAAAGCCAGGAACCAGGAGCTTCTTCCAGGTCTCCCACAAGGGTGCAGATCCCAAAGCTTTGGGCCGTCCTCCACTGCTTTCCCAGGGCACAGGCAGGGAGCTGGATGGAAAGCTGGACCGCTGGGATAAGAAACGGTGCCCATATGGGATACCGGCATGTTCAAGGACAGGACTTTAACCAATATGCTTCTGCACCGGGCCCAAACGTATCAATTTCTGTATCACACAGAAACTGTGTTCTGAACACTTGCCCTAAATTTCTAACTTCTTGGTTTTCTCCAGTGATTTTCTTCCAGAAATCCTACAAGTTATCTCAAAACTCAATAGTATAATATTCAAAATATCTTCATATTAAAATGCTGTGGCCCGGGAAAACAGTCGAGGACGGCCCAAAGCTTTGGGACCCTGCACCCGCGTGGGAGACCCGGAAGAGGTTCCTGGCTTCGGATCGGCATAGCATCAGCCGTTGTGCTCACTTGGGGAGAGAATCATCGGACGGAAGATCTTCCTCTCTGTCTCTCCTCTCTGTATATCCACCTTTCCAATAAAAATAAAATAAATCTTTAAAAAAAAATGCTGGGTTTAAAAAAAAAAACAAACATTTACTTTGAAAGTTGCAGAGACTCAGAAAACTGTCCTCTGTTGGTCTATTCCCCAGACAGCTACAAACAACTGGGGCTGAGGGCTGTTCATTAAGATTCTATGCCAGGTGAAGCCAAGAGCATGGAGCTTCTTCTGGGCCTCCCCTGTAGGTGCAGGTCCCAAGCACTTGGGCCATCTTTCACTGCTTTCCCATGTGCACTAACAGGGAGCTGGATCAGAAGTGGAACAGCTGGGATTCTGGGCTGCTGGCACTGAAGGTGGGGGCTTAGGCTACTCTGTCACAGCACTTTGTCTCCATTCTAAAACGTTTTATCTTGAGACTACTCTTGTGGTATACAAACTTGGACTGCCATTGTGATACCACCAGAATCCCATCGGGCTACTAGTTCAGGTCTTGGATGCTCCACTTCAGATCCACTCCCCCAATGGTGTACCTGGGAGAGTGGCAGAGTGGCAGAGGACAGCTGGGACACTGGGGCCTCTGCTGTTCACAGAGAAGGCCTGAGTGGAGGTACAGACTAACGGCTTTCACCTGGCTCAGCTCCAACTGTTGCGGTCATTTTGGAGATGAACTTGCAGGTGGACTCTCTCCTTCACCCCCAACCCCATCCCCTGCCAAACTCCAGTACCCAGCCCCCGCGGCACTCTCTTTTGGATAAAACTTTTTTTTAAATGTTTTTATCTTTCTTAAACATTTCCATTAATCTTACCACCATTTTACCAATTGTTCCAATTAATCGTATTTCATTCCTGGCTTTCCCCAGATCACTTCAATTCGTATTGCATGCCATTTCCTCTCATTTCTAAAAGCAGCCTTAGTATAAACTTGCCTGATTTTTAATGTACTCTATTATCCTAACTGCATTTTACTTCCAGACTCTCCAGCAATCAATTTACCCTACACATAAGAATATTTCAGAAAGTTCAAGGAAAATGAACGTAAACGGTAAGTTTACCATGGTGTAAACAAATTAAGTTCATGCATATGAGGGGCCTCATAAAACCAACTTTCTCTTTCAGCTACCATATTTTTCTCCTCTACCCACACAGCCATTTTCTAAGAAAGGCCTGTTCTTGCTAATTTTGTTTCCTTTTCACCCCCACTCACTAATCTTTGGAAACTGTCAGCTGCTCCCATTACTGTAGGCAACTTGCTTGCGCTAAAACTGCTATGAGAATGTGTTGCTTAAACCTACAGAGACTTCTCAGCACTTGGCTTCTCAAAAAAATCTGTTGCTACTGATTACCCTCTGTCCTTAGATATGACCTTCCTTAGATGTTCAAGAATCCTCACTTCCTGTGTTTGTGGCTTTTGGTTGTATTTTCTCAGTCCCTTACGGCAGAAGTTCCTTTACACACTGAGGCTTTCTCATTTCACTCTACACAAACTCCTTAAGAGATGGCTTTCTTATCACCACAGCTTCACTCACTGTAGTGCTGTGGGATGAGGGGGGAAGGAGGAAGGGTGGCAGCAGGGTATTAGAAACACAAGCTTCTAGAATCTATGTAAGTCACGCCCACAGGCCTTGGCATAATTCCTTCCATCCACCCTTACCTAACACTGCTAACAGGACGGAAGAAACGATTAAGAACCAAAGTCTGGGCAGCACCAGTCAGCCCCTACCCCACCCGCCTGCACACTGCCTCCTGGCACTGTGCCCAATAGTTCTAGTCCTACTCACCGAAGAAAGAAGTATTCACAATCTCAAAAAAACTTTCTAGTTAAGTGTCTCTCTGTTCTCAAAACAACATATTCCATCTCTCACCTAACACTTTTACTGAAATGTCCATGAACACAACAAACACTTCCAAAATTAATTCCGTTCATCAATCAACTCAGCTCTTCCTAATGAATAATATTACCACCTGTGTAAAAAACCAGGGCAGAAATCTGGTATCTAATTTCACATCTTCCATCATCCAAAGTAAGTAATAAGTGCTGACAATTCCTTCCACTAAAATCTTTCACTTCCCACTTATTTTATTTATTTGAAAGGCACAACAATGGCAATGGGGTAGGGCACATGTCATCCATTGCTTGTTCACTTCAAAAATTCATGCAATGGCTACACCTGGGCCAGGTAACTCTATCGACATCTCCCACCTGGTGTTCAGGAACTTTGGACATCACCTGCTACCTGCCAGGGTGTGCTTTAGCAGGCAGCTGGATTAGCAGCTGAGGCATGATAATATGAGATGCCAGCATCATCCCAAACTGTGGCTAACTACTTATACCACAAGACCTGTTCCACCACTTCCCAGTTATTTCCCTAGTTCAGCTATTACCATTTTTATTGCAGAATTCTTTAAATGTTTTTAATTGGCCTCTTATTTCTCACACCCCTTATTTCCTCTATTTCAGTCACAAAGTTCTACAAAGTATGAGAGAGTGCATGTGCTTTATCTGCCTCCTCTCCAGCTAACATAGACTTGCTCCACCTTTCCATAGCAGACCAGGTGGAAACATCCTGCATTTAGCATTGGTGACACTACAAGTGGCATTTTCTTTGTCCAGAAGTACCTTCATTACAGTTCTACAACAGGACTTTTTTTTCCTACCAATATCTCCCAAGTCAAGTTCACTATCCAGGATAGTAAACTTGGAATTCCAAAAGGGAAAAGATAAGAATGCATAGAGAGGAGGCAGAGAATAGAAAAAGATAAGGAAATAACAACACCGGTAATCCTCAGTTTTAAATGAGTCACTAATAAGTTATCTGATACACACACAAAAAAATTTAAAAACCATGCTATTAATGAAGAGTATATTCTTAAACCAGCTCACAATAGTACATGACATATATAAACAACACCTGAAAATGATCACTATGCATTACACATCAATGATTCTGTAAGAAAAGATGCTCACTGTACCTCTGGGTGGCAAATCCATATCCCCTGATGTCAGTCCTATCAAGTTAGGCCTCTGCGCATGCACTCTGTGTCTGTACATAGGTCTGGAAGTGTTCGTTATACTTGGGGCTTCAGGATTGTAGCCATCTGTGTCATATGTATCTGGTAATACAAAAACTGTAATTAAAAACAATTAAAAACTCCATAGTAATTATTAATATAGATAACAGGAAAAGCAAACTGTAGAACCCATAGTCAATATATTTTATATGCATAAAAGTAATTTCATAAAGTGAAAACTAAAATTAAAAAAACTTACAACTAATTGTTAATTCAATTTATAATCATTATGGCTATGCTGCAGTCTATATAATTTAATAAGAAAAATACTCCGGGGGGGGGGGGTTGATGTGGTAGCTCAACAGCTTAACCCTCCACCATATGACGCCAACTCATGTCCTAGGTGTTTCACGTTCCATCTATCTCCCTGTGTATGCCTGGGAAAGCAGCAGAGGATGGCATAAGGCCCTGGACATGGAAGACCCAGAAGCAGCTCATAGCTCCTGGTTTCAGACTGGCTCAGCTCTGACCATTGTGGCAATTTGGGGAGCAAACTAGTGGATGGAAGATCTTACTCCCTCTCATCTTCTCTTTGTATATCTGCTTTTCAAGTAAAAATAAATAAATAAATCTTTTTATTTTAAAGGAAAAGCACTCCTAGACATTATAAATTTTTTCATTTAAAACTGTATTTTATGAATATAAGGAGGCCAAAACTGCACCTGCAGTAAAAAGAGAGGGTGGAGCTGGAGGAGTTTGATGATGAATGCCAGTTGTTACTACAGTAGGAACAGAACTGGTCGCGGAATTTGGGGGAGCATCCATGCCAGATGGCTGCAAAGGAGGAAGAGGAGGTGGTGGTCCTGTCAAAACCAAAGAATAAGAAATATCATCTGAAAGCAAACAAATAAAATAAGTTATTATATATCCAAACATCATATTCTTATCAAACTATAAAATATACAAACATCAGTTAAGTTAAAATTCAAACTAAATCAATTTCAAAGATACATATCCTTTTAATGCGCTCAAAAACAAGTTTGCTTTAAGCTGTAAAGGAGCATAAATGTATCAATAACATGCATAATTCATGGCCAGTGCAATGGCTAATTCTCTGCCTGCAGTGACAGCATCCCAATACAGACACCAGTTTATGTCCCAGCTGTTCGACATCCTCATCCAGCTCCCTGCTGATGGGCTGGGAAAGCAGCAGACAATGGCCGGGACAATGCACTCATGTGGGAGTCACAGAAGGAGCTCTGGTTCCCAGCTTCGGCGCAACTCTAGCCATGACAGCCACTTAGGAGTAAGCCAGCAGAGAGAAGCTATCTCTGTCTCTCCCTCTCTCTGTAACTGATTCTCCAAGTAAAATAAATAAATCTTTAAAGACCATAATTCACAGAACCAATCTAGACCACAGTAACAGGTTTGACATAAGCTCAAAAATGGAAATACACTCCCCATAGAACATACAGCTCATAATTTTTATGAGGGGTTAATGTGAATGCTTTAGATACTTATAACAAAATCAAGTGTCAAGCTATTAACTTTATAAAAAGATTATGTATGAATACATTACTAGAATAAGCATACATATTTACTTACCTGTGACAGGTGGAAGGCTGGGTGGTAATGGACCTGGAGGTGGCACTGGAGGTCTGAGATTCACAGGTGGGGGTGTAAGAATTGGTGGCGGTGGGGGCAGTCCAGGCGGAGGTGGTCCTTCAACAACAGGAGGTTGTGCTGGAAAAGGCAGCATACCAGGAAGATTCACATCTTCTACAACAACTGGGTCACTTCCATGATCAAAAGGGCACATGTCTCCTCTCATACAAAAACCCTTTTCTGTAAGGATGAAAAATTAGAAACAAATGTAAACAGCACTATAATTATTAAAGTTTCTTTAACAATAGTACTTAAGAAATAGAAATATTAAAATCTACTAGGCAAAAGCATATTTAACCATTTCATAAAAGATCTTTGTTCATTTCCTATAATACCTATCAAGGATAATTATCTACCATATTGAAAAATCAGTCCAGCCATCAAACCCAGTCACAGGAAAAATCACAACATATGTGGTACAACCTTGCAGTGTATGTATCAGGACTGGGCCTCCTCAGTTGCTGATGCCTGTGCAGAGCACAGCATACCAGAAGCAGGGGGGAACATGATAACCAGCTCATCTAGGCCAGCAGAGGATGCCTAGTGCCTTGTCAGAGGATGCAAAGTAGAACAGGTTGGACCATTCTCCTGGCCAAGCTTTGCAACATGTTCTTGGGCCCTGAAGATATACTAGGATAGACTCAGTCAGCCAATAGATCTTGGAAAGATTTCCTCAACCCTGTGGCGAAGAAGCTGATATCTCAGAACTACCAAAACCACTCAAGTAACATCCTCGAAAAACTGTTCCTACATGCAGGTCTGCAAGGCATCATCAAAGAACCATCCCTTATCCCCAGGTGCCGACACAATTTAAGAGCAAAGAGCAGGTCCCTTCCTTCCCTCTCTGGGGACTCAGGAGAGAAAAAGAAATGGAGACATCTATCCCATCCACCTTCCACCATATCTCAATCCTCCCTACCCTAATCAGAGACTCATACAGACGTGCATCCCTCTCAACTACATAATTAATGTTAAAAATAAACTAAAAAAATATTTCTAAAAAGAGTATTAGGTAGCAAGATGACATGAAACATACACTCTTTGAAACAGTGACTTTCATTTAAATCCCTCACTTAAACTAAATGACTATTATACAGTGTTTCTCAAAAAACGTTTACACTAGACCATGAAAGTCTTAAATTCTTTTATACAATCCTTGTATTAGTGACATTTACTCTTCTAGACCCTACTTACATTCAAGTAACCATTTCTAAAGAAGGGAACTTTGTCAGTAATATTACAGAAGCAGATTCCCTTTTAAAATGTTTACTCTTATTTAGTGAACTACAACATATTAAGACTCAGAGGAAAATAAACAATCTTTAAACTGATAATCATCAGCAATGACAAATTAAAGTTTTAGTGAAATTCCCCACTATTCTAGTGCCACAGGGAAGTTTTCAGTAACTACACATAATCTAAACTTAGAAAATTTGTATAGACAGCTGGAAGTATTAAGTTAATACTGAATGAAACAGCTCACAGACTTACCATCATAGTCTCTACATCGTTTCTTTGGCATTGGTTGTCTTACGTAAGAGTTATGGTCCACCTGATCTTCATGGAATTCAGACCAACTTTCAGTAGTGTTGTTACCATGATGAGTAGGAGCAATAACTGTAATAGTGCTGCTCAAAGTGGGTACAGGATAGTGACCAGATGAAATACTAGGTACCGAAGAGACTGGAGTATAATTGTTTTCTAAGGGATCCGTTCTATCCAGGTCATATTTAGGTTTTACCAAATCTCTTTCTGCAATAAAATAAACATTATGTAGAAAGTAATACCTCATCAAAAAATGCCTAAAATGTAAGAAATTATAATTTTGCTAAAGAGGAAAATTTTTATTTTCCACAATGCTTTTTCTTTTAAAAGCTATTTAGTTAACACTCAGATAAGTCACTTCTTCTCAGTATGATCTAAACTACAAAATCACACATCAAGTTGTTTTATATTAAATTTTTGTTTATGGAAATGTACTTTATTTTCTTCATCACAATCTTAATATGCATAATTGCAGCCCACAAATCAAAAGTAGTGAAAAGTATGTCTCTTTGGGCCCGGCATGACACCTCAATTGGCTAAACTCTACGATCATTTGCCAGCATTCCATATGGGTGACAGTTCATGTACTGGCTGTTCTACTTTCCACCCAGCTCCTTGCTTACGACCTAGGAAAGAAGTGGTGATGGCCCAAAGCCTTGGGATTATGCACTGACATGGGAGACCAAGAAGAGGCTCATAGTTCCCAGCTTCAAAACAGCTCAACTCCAGCCACTGCAATCATTTGGGGAGTGAACCAACAGATGAAAGATCTTTGTCTCTGTCTCTCCTCTCTAGAAACTGCCTTTCCAATGAATAAATCTTAAAAAGGCAAAAGAAAGAAGGGTTGTTCTGGTAACAATACTTATCATGTACCAAACCAATCAATGAGAAAAGAATAAATGAGCAAAAAAGGGAAGAAAAGCTCATGCCAAGCATAAACCAAGACACTAGGTTTTATATGGTTCCAACAAAAGAAATAAGAGCATAAGAAAATGAAGAAAGTGAAGCGATGTGCAATGAAGCCTGCTTCACTTGGATCTCAAAAGAGGAACATACTCTTAAACATAGCAGAATATACAGTTACACAAAGGCCAGAGGGCAACACAGTAGCTCTATTAAAGCAAATGTATTTTACTCAGGAAGTGTTTTCTTTTTTTTTTACCATAACATCTTCCTTTCAATAATATATTTTAGAAGAAAAAATATGTATGTCAGAACCAACATGCTCTTACAGATCTTACTAGAATTAAAAATTTTTAGTTTTTTTTAAATAGTTCTGAGGATAACTATCATACAATAATTTCACACTTAAAATGTAATAACTCAAATCAATATTCATCATTCACAATCATCACAGATTACTTGTATCTTCTAAATTTTATGTATCTATGTACTTTCATCTGACTTCTTTCAGTCAACATAGTTACTGTGAGATTCTGTGTTGTGCTTTTAAAGATTTATTTATTTTTATTGGAAAATCAGACATACAGAGAGGAGGACAGACAAGAAGATTTTCCGTTCGATGATTTACTCCCCAAGCAGCTGCAACAGCCAGAGCCAAGCCAATCTGAAGCCAGAAGCCTCTTCTGGATCTCCCATGCTGGTGCAGGGTCCAAGATTTTGGGCCATCCTCAACTGCTTTTCCAGACCACAAGCACAAAGCTGGATGGGGCCACTGGGATTAGAACTGGCACCCATATGGGATCCCAGCACATGCAAGGTGAGAACTTTAGCCAGTAGGCTACCATGCCAGGTCTGATTCCCTGGTTTTGATGCATGGAGCAATAGCTCCTTTCTATCCACTGTATACTATAATTATACTAGAATGCCTTAATCTGTGTACATGATGATAGACTTATTTCAATTATTCTAGCTTTTTACTAATTTTTTGAAGATTTATTTATTCATTTAAAAGTCAGAATTGCAAAAAGTGGAAGAAGGAAAGAAAAGAAAGATCTTCCATCCCCTGATTCACACCCCAAATGTCTGTCAACATCTAGGGCAGGACTAAGTTGAAACCAGGAACTGCATCCTACTCTCGCACATGGCTGCAGGGCCAGAAGCACTTGGGTCATCTGCTGCTGCTTTTTCCAGGTCATTAACAGGAAATAGATGAGAAGTGAAGCAGCTAGGACTCAAACCAGCACCCTTATTGGATGTGGGCATCCTAGGCAGCAGCTTTCAGTGATATGCCACAACAGCAGCCCCAAAGCTTTGAACTGTTATAAAAAAAAGTCAACAAGAACAATTGTGTACAAGTCTGAGTACACATATCCTCTCTTAATTCTGGTTCATGTACATGCTAATCAACACTGAATATCCACTCTTTCACTGCAGCCATTCTATTGCATGCACAATGCCAACTGAGGTTTTGCTTTGCATTCAATTCAATTCTTTCCTTAAAGATTTATTTTGGGCTCAGTACATTAGCTCAGTGTTAAATCCTCACTTGGCAGGCACCAGGATTGCATATGGACGCCAGTTCATGTCCTGGCTGTTCCACTCCTCCATCCAGCTCCCTGCTTGTGGGCAGGGAAAGCAGCAGAGGCTGGTCCAAGTCCTTGGGATCCAGCACCTGTGTGGGTGACCCGGAAGAAGCTTGTGGCTTCATATCAGCTCAACTCCAACCTCTGTGGCCACCTGGCAAGTGAACTAACAGACAGAAAATGTTTTTGTCTCTCCTTCTCTCTGTAAATCTGCCTTTCCAATCAAAAATAAAATCAATGTTTAAAAAAATATATTTACTTTTATTGGAAAGGCAGATTAGATTTATGGAAAGGAGAGACAGAAAGATGTTCTTTCTGCCACCAACAGCCAGAACTGAGGTAACTCAAAGCCAGGAACCAGAAACCAGGAGCCTCCTTGGGGTCTCCCACAGGGGTGCAGGGTCCCAAGGATCTGGGCCACCTCTACTGCTTTCCCAGGCCGCAAGCAAGGAGGTGAACAGGAAATGGAGCAGCTAGGACAAGAACCAGAGCCCACATGGGATCCCAGTCCCTTCAAGGCAAGGCTTAATCACTGAGCCATCACACTCATCTCATAATGAAATTTTTAAATGAAAAATTTAAAAAGCTTTTAATTAAAACATAGGGCACATCATTGTAAGAGAAATAAAGATAACACAGAGAACATGTTAGTAATTTAAAATAAACTTTAAACTTGAAGTTTTCCATTATAAGGGAATGCTGGCCAGAATATACACAGACATGCATATTTACCCCTGCTTCGTGTTCTGCTCCTGCTTCGTGTTCTGCTCCTATCTCTGTCCCTGTCACGGAGTCTCTCCTTGCTCCAGCTCCGACTCCGACTTCGGCTGTAGCTGCGACTGCGCCCCCTTCTTCTGTTGTACCGGTCTCTGTAGGAATCTCTCCGAGGAGGGTTTCGGTCATAATCTCTTTTGCGAGAACGATCCTCTTTTTTCCTCTCATCACGACTTCTAGAAAAAAATGGGGGTGGGAGAGGTTGCTTTTATGTATGTAAATAATTTTCAGTGGATACAGGAAAACTTCTACATGTCAAAGTCATATTTAACGCTTCTTGTAAACATATTACCACACATTTGCATTATATGCCATATGCAATTACTCAAACTAAACAGACAGTTCAAATGTTGTAAAATCTTTTTTAAATTGAAACTATCACTGAAAATAAAAATTAGAAAAAAGAAAAGTTAGTGATAAAACTAACTGTACCAGTGTTGTGATATAGGCAGTTAAGCTGCTGCCTGCAATGCCCTCATTCTAAATAACGCCAGTCAGTCCTAACTGTTCCACTTCTAAAGCAGTTCCCTGCTAATGCCCTTGGGAAGGCCGTGAGAGATGGCCCAACTGCTTGGGCCCTTAAAACCACGTGGGAGACACAGAAGCAGCTCCTAGCTCCCCTGACCATGGTAGTCATCTGGGGAGTAAACCAGGAATGGTTTATGTTCTCTCCTTCTCTTTTAAGTAAATAGCATATATTTGTTAAAATAATAATAAGAGGCCAGAGTGGTGGTATAGTAGGCTAATCCTCAGACTCTGATACTGGCATACCATATGGACACCGATTCATATCCAAGGTGCTCCACTTCTCATCCAGCCTCTTGCTTGTGTCCTGGGAAAGCAGCAGAAGATGGCCTAAGTCCTTGGGACTCTGAAACCATATGTGAGACCCTACAGAGGTTCCTGGCTCCCAGCTGCAGCCATTTGGCGAATGAACCAGCACAAGAAAGATCTCACTGTCTCTCCCTCTCCTCAACTCTGATTTTCAAGTAAAATAAATAAATCTTAAAAAAATAATAATAGGAGCTGGCTCAGTGATGCAGCAAGCTGCTCCACTTCTGATCCTGCTGTCTGTTCAGTCTAGGAAAATAGTAGAGGTTGGTCCAATTGCTTGGTCCCCTGCACTTGTGGAAGACCCAGAAGAAGTTCCTGACTTTTGGCTTTGGATCGGCTCAACTCCAGCCACTGTGGCCATCTGGGGAGTGAGCCAGCAGGTGGAAGATTTCTGTCTGTTCTCTCTATAAAAATTTAAGTTTCAAATAAAATTAAATATATATATATTTTAAGTAATACACAGTCAAACACAGATTTAAACCTCTTATTCCAAGCTGACCTAGGTTTTACTGAAAGAAAAGTACCTATTTATAGAGTACACATTATTTGTTCCTATGTATAAGGTAATCAAAATCTAAACATTAAGCAATAGTTTAACAATCACTCACCTATTTTCTCTGTAACGAGAGCTTGACTGAGGAGGACTATGATTTAACCTTCTAGAAAACTTTTTCTCTCGTTCTTCCTCTTTTGTGATCTTATATTTAAAAAGAAAAGGAAGGAAAAAAAGTTACTCTTTGCCATTTAACTATCTCAATGATTCAATGATTAACTTACATGGGCATAGTGGATATCTATTTGGGCACTAGTTCAAACCCTGGCTGCTCCACTTCCAACCCAGCTACCTGTTCATGTACCCGAGTCAGCAGAAGAGGATGGTGCTAGTGCCTGGGGCCTTACACTCACATAGGAAGCTAACGCAGAGCTCCTGGTTCTAGGCTTCAGACCAGACCAGCTCACTTAAGAGAGTGAACCAGCAGATGAAACATATTTCACTCTCCTCTGACTATCTCTGTCTCCCAAATAAGTAAATAAATCTTTTTTTAATCAATTTATACAATACAGAAAAGTGTCACCTCCTAAAAGTACTCAAACATTAATTTCTTTACTAGTTATAATTATTTAATTTAGCCAGACAACCCACTGAAAGTTAAAGCAAATACTAAAGTCATAAATATCTTCAGATAAGAAATCATTTTAAGTGTCTACATTTTAATATAATTCACAGAAAGACAATTTTACTCCTTCTTCCAAAATACTAATATGCATTTGTTTTGATTTTATGGGATTAGTCTTGTACTAAACACGCCGAGGAACATAGGAAAACAATAGAAATTGCCAAATCATTTAAGGAAAATAGTGGAAAATCGGTAAATTTATAAAGTAAAATAGTTCCCCAGTTTCTCACTGCAGCATGATAGCCACACATAGGGTCCCCACTCATTAATTCATAACATGCCACTACTAGAAAGCAAATATGGAAAATACCAACTTGATTAATGATACCTACTCCAAACTATAATATCTACAACACTGGTTCTGCGAAACATTAAAAGATACAATTAGATGAAGGCTTTGGGGCCAGTGCTGTGGCACTGAAGAATAATGCAGCAATGAAAAGGGTCAAGTAAAACTTAGGTTCCTGCCTCTCATTTTGGAGACCCGGATTGAGTTCTCAGCTCTCGGCTTCAGACATCATCCCAGCCCACCTCACCCTACAGGGTTCATTTGCACTCTCCTGACCTTTCCAATAAATAACCAAAATAAAAAGTGCCCTACAAAATGTATGTAGGACAGAATTAAAGATAAAATTTAATCTAATTATTGTCACAAAACACAAATAAGGCTCCATGTCTTTGAGAAGAATTAAAAGCAGGCCTGAGACTACTATGTTTACAAAAGTATGCTATATAACTGGCTGTTGGCTGGTTTCCGGAAACTGATTTCTGCAGGGTTCTCAACATTCTTTGATAACAACAGCTCAATGTACCTGATGTATGATAACAATAGAATTTATGCTCAACATCTAATTTTCCTCTAGAGTCTGGAACATACTAGGTATAAATGATCATGGTCTCTAGGGAATTCCTTGGATTTGCATATGCTATCATGGAACTTGTTGCTAGGGCAAGTACATCCAATATCATTCCAAGAATTTCGGAATCCTGTATCTAATTTTCTACCACTTTTTCTCACATACCTCCTCCTCTGCTAACTTTGTTTTGTCTCACTTAGACAAAGTTAAATTATTGCTATGCTCACATGCTTCAGTCACACTCGTAATGAAATCATCTAACTAGAGATGGTCCTGGGGGTAGTCTCCTTAACAGAGCTAAACTGAAATTAATTATTCCTTGTATGTGTTTAAAGAACCTGAACAACGTATAAAAAACCTTTACCTCTTCCTTTTTTATATCTTTTTCTTGGTGCTGAAAAAATTCTACCTTTAGGCTTCCTGCTGATGGCTGCTCAGGAGGAGGTAGATAACTCTTTGTATTCACAGCATCAAAAAGTTTCTCCACAAATATCTGTGTCTCTAAAAATAAAAGCAAAAACCACAAATAAAAAGACATCTAAGACATCAACCTTAATTCTTAATGTAATTCTTTACATCAGATTTCTAATATGAGATACCTGAACTGTTATAAACCTAGAAATTATACCAAGACAAAAGGCTTCCCAATTAGGGTGACACAGTGCAAATCCCCAATTCTCAGGATGATGGAGACTTAATTGGCCAAAGCCTCTGGAATGGTAATTGCTTCTACCCACCATTGTTCTTGCCCATTCAGCCCAATTGTGCTTCATGTGTGAAGCACAAGCAGTATGATAATCTCATTGTGAGCAAAAATGCAAAAAGTTGAAAAGCAATGTGACAAGCAATATTCAAAGCAATTTCCTAAGTGGTACAAACATATATTCAATGTTCTTGATCTACAAAGCTATATAAGAAAAAATACCACACCTATGGAACTGTATCATAATAAAACAAATATAATTTTTTAAGAAAAAAAAAGAAAGAAAAAAATACCACCATGCTTCCAGAACAAACACAAGGATATTAATGACAGGATGTTCCCATTTTAAATAAGCTACATTTAGAGATAAGTGATATTATTTGTTCAACTTTGTTATAGTAAGAAGCTGTCTTTCATAGAGTTATTTTAATACTCTGTGGATAATCATATTTTCATAATGAGTAGTAAAGAATAATAAGTTTTACCTTTCTGAAGAAATACATCCAGCTGATCAATACATAATGCCTTTAACTCTTTTTCACTTTTATCTTTCTTTACCAAAGCCAGAACATATTTTGCTAGGGCTGATGGATCTGCATCACAGCTAAAGAAAAAAAATAAGGTTGAAGGAAATTGTGCTATATACAACTACATATTAAAATGAACTTAGAATGATAAAAATAAGTACATACATAAATATATACAAAAAGTACCCAAGTCATGGAAAGCACTAAAGAGATAAATTCTCGCAATCAGCATTGTGACATAACACTTAAAGCCACTGCCTGGAAAAAGCTCCAGAATCTAGCTTTGACCTGGCTCAGACATTGCTATTGCAGCCTGAACCAGCAGATGGAAGATCTCCTTCTTTCTATCTCTCCTTCTTTCTGTATAACACTTTCAAACAATTACGTTTTAACATATATACATATATGTGCTTATTACAGCATCTTCCATGTCATACATAGCCATCACTTCCCAAACACATACCCCATAGTATGTTAATTAAATAGCAGAAAAGAAAGTCTAGAAACAGATCCAATATATTAACAATTTAGACTTCATAATATGGCACCCAAATCAATAAAGAAATAAACTATGCAACAGTGTTGAAAGAACTTGACAGTTATATCTTAAAAAATTAATCTGAATCCATGATTTATGCCATCTAGTACATCACATATAAAACTACATAAAATTTAACAAAGCATTAGGAAAAAATGAGTTATTTGATTATGCCAGAATAATGAAGACCTTTTTGATTACAACACAAAATCTGCATCACAGTCCTTTTTTTAAAAAGACAATTTGCAGAATAAAAAAAGTTAAAAAAAACAAACCATGGAAATGCTCAGTTTAATTATTTTTATAAATTCTTTATAAATAAAGGCAAATTCTTATAAAACATAGTTTCAATTTATCAAAAACACTGTAGGGGGGAAAAAATAGACTAAACAACAAAAATAAAAAATACGACACAGAAAGTTAAGCTGCCACCTATGGTGGGAGCACCCCATAAAGACGCTGGTTCCTGTCCCTGACACTCCACTTCTGATGCAGAGCTCTGCTAATGCCCCTGGGAAAGAAGCAGAAGACAGCCCATGGATCTGAACCTGGCTAGCCAAGTGGGAAACCAGCAAAGAGTGCCTGGCTCCTGACTCCAGCGTGGCGCAGCATGAGCTACTGAAGCAATTTGGGGAGGGAACCAGTAGAAAACATGTTTGTTTCTAGCACTCTGATTCTCAATTAAAATAAATGAATTAATTAAAAAAAATCTTCCTAAGACTACACAACAATTAAGCAAAAGCAGCAAGACTAAAGGATAAATCTCATTCTCCAAAGTTCTTAATCTCTAGACTCTTACAATGAAGTGCCCACAGACCAAACTTCCAAGTCATTTATTCCTATAAACTTTGTGAGTTATAGCTACCAATCTCTATCCGCCACTCACCACTCTTCCAACTTCTTCCAAAATGTCTCTACCTCCCCATATATCCTTACACATGACACAAAATACGGTTTGTCTATCACACCTTCTCCTATATTCTCCCCTATCCCACTTGGTTGCCAAATAGACTATTACTCTGGGGGCCAGCATTGTGGTATGAGTTACGCCACAGCCTGCAAACCTGGCATCCAATACGGACACCGTTTGGAGTCCTGATTGCCCCTTTCAATCCAGCTTCCTGCTAATGTACTTGAGAAAGCAGTGGAAGATAGCCAAACTCCTGCAACTCATACGGGAAATCCAGAAGCAGCTCTTGACTCCTGGCCATTTGGGAAGTGAACGAGCAGGTGAAAGATCTGTCTTTTCTTCTAACTCTTAAAAAAAAAAAAAAGCACTATTACTTTAAACAGTCTCAAATAATTCAACAACCCAGCATGTATCATTTTCCTTCCAGTACCCTTCTCTCTCAGCAATTTGGAGAAATTTCATCCTTTAACTTAGGTTTCACAACTTGCTAACATAAAAATAATAAATAATTTCACACCAACAACATAGATTAACTAATAAATCAAATTTCCCAAGGATATTGATGACACAAAATAGGTTCAACAACAGTGGCTTTCCAAAAACAGAAAACAGAGCCTGAAGGACTGGCTCAATTGGCTAATCCTCCTCATGCATGTGTCAGGATCCCATATGAACACCGGCTCATGCTCCAGCTGCTCCACTGCCCTTCAGCTCCCTGCTTATGGCCTAGCAAAGCAATAGAGGATGGCCCAGGTCCTTGGGACCCTGCACCCACATGGAAGACCTGGAAGAATCTCCTGGCTTCTGGCTTTGGATCAGTTCTCTTCCAGTTGTGGCAGCCATTTAGGGAATGAACCAGTAGATAAAGATCTTTCACTCTGACTCTGCTTTTTCAAGAAAAATAAATGCTTAAAAAAAAAAACCTTAAAGAGTAAAAAAGAACAAAGGAAAGCAAATATTGGGTAATCATAGCAGGAAAAGATAACTACAAATGAGTAGTAAAAAAAAAGAAAAACTTGGGCAGGAACAAGGCTCAACTGGCTAATCCTCCACACCCTGTAGTGCCAGCATCCCATCTGTACCAGTTTGTCCCCAGCTGCCCCACTTCCCATCCAGCTCCCGCTTAGGGCCTGGGAAAGCAGTGGTGGATGGTCCACACCTTGGGACTCTGCACACAAGTGAGAGACCAAGGAGAGGCTCCTAGCTCCTGGCTTCAGCTCTGCTTACTGAGGCCCTCTGGGGAGTGAACCAGCAGATGAAAGATCTTTCTGTCTCCTCCTTTCTCTGTGTATCCAACTTTCCAGTGAAAATAAATAAATCTTAGAAAAATAGTTTGAGGAAAAACAGATTCACACACAATTAACATGACAAAACATCAAATCATTTTGACTGCATATAACTGCTAGCAATATAAACTGTTCAAGTGCTAAAATACTGACAATCTATATACATTAATTAGAAATAATAGAAAATAATATAAGACATACCACAGTCTCCAATTGTCATATCTAAAATATAATTATGTAACAGTTCGATAAAAGCAGAGCAGTAACATGTCAATGAATCAAAACTACACCTTCAATACAGTAGAGTTTGGGACGCAAAACAGAATCATCTACAGAAAAAACCTAACTGCCAGTGAACAGATATGATTCAAACATCTTTAAGACAGTATCAAAATTTAAAACTATTTTGTTAAGGATCTAGAATTAATCACACTTAATATAAGACCTTCCTTATCTGCAATTTAAAGTAGATCATCAAATTCTTAACCCTCTCTTCAAAAATACAGTGTAATTCCTCCACCCCTTAAAAGTCATCTCAACTGAGTGACTTGCTTCTAACAAAATATGGCAGAGATGATAGTGTCTGGTTTCTGAACTCCACCATTAAAGGTACAGCGGGATCATCACTGTTCCCATCCTATTACATATTCTACAGAAATCAACAGCTACAACACAATTAGACACCACCAGATGATGATTAAATGAGGGGTCTAGCCAAAGCCTTGGCAAGAAACTAAGACTATTTGCCGACAGCATATGTGAGAAAGCTTGAAAGCATATTTTACAGCCTCAAAAGAACCCTGAGAAGACGACATTCCCCATCAACAGCTTGACTGCAATCTCCTAAGAGAGCAATCAGACTCCCAGCATATCTGCTTCCAAACTCACAACCCCTAGAAACTGGGGGATCTTCTATGCTACTAAGTTTCAGGATAATTTGTTCATCAGTAATCATAATCACCTCCTCTCATAAATCTATTTCCATTTATTTACAAAAACTTAAAGTGAGCTATAACTTTAAAAGTCAGAAAAACAGTAGTTTACTGCTAATGTGATTTTTCTAAGATTTCCATTTTTCTTTAAAAATGCTATGGAATATACTTATACCAAGAAACTTTTCATTAAGATACAATGAAAATCACTTAATTTTGGGCTCAGTGCAATAGCCCAGTGTCTGAAGTCCTGACCTTGCATGAGCCGGGATCCCCTAAGGTCACTGGTTCATATCACAAATATTCCACTTCCCATTCAGCTCCCCTCTCGTAGTCTGGGAAAACAGTAGAAGACAGCCCAAAACCTTGGGACCATACAGCCACGTGGGAGACCTGGAAGAAGCTTCAGAGAAACTCGGCTCCAGTCATTGTGGCCACTTAAGGAGTGAATCATTGGACAGAAGATCTTTCTGTCTCTCCTCTCTATATATCTGACTTTCCAATAAAAAATAAATCTTTTAAAACAAAATAAGGCCCTTTCTGCTAGTAGCTTATTTTCATTTATCTTAAACATATTTATTCCATCCTCCTAATTATATCTTTTCTTTTTAAAGATTTATTTATTTTATTGGAAAGGCAGATACACAGAGAGGAGGAGCAGCCAGAAAGATCCTCCTTTCAGTGGTTCACTCCCCAAGTAGTGGTGTGCCTGGAGCTGAGCTGATCAGAAGCTAGGAGCCAGGAGCTTTCTTCAGGTTTCCCACGCGGATACACGGTCCCAAGGCTTTGGCCCATCATCTGCTTTCCCAGGCCACAAGCAGAGAGCTGGAAGGGAAGTAGAGCAGCCAGGATAAGAACCGATGCCCATATGAAATCCCAGTGCACATACGATGAAGACTTTAGACACTAAGCTACCACACCACGCCTTCTCAATTATTTCTTTAAAAAGACACTTAAACGAGTTATGGGGCTGACACTGTGGTATAAAGGACAAAAGCCAACACCTGTGGTGCCAGAAACCTACATGGGCACAACAGTTCCAGCCCTGGATACTCCATTTCCATTCCTGCTCCCTGTTAATATACCTGGGAAGCATCAGAGGATGAGCCACCTGCTTGTGTCCTGCATCCATGTAGGAGACCCAGAAGCAGCTCCTGGCTACTGGCTTCGGACCAGTTCAACTCAAGCCATTGTAACCATTTGTGGAATGAAGCAGCGAACAACTTTTGTCTCCCCTTTTCTCTAACTTTTCCTCTAACATATCTTAAAAGTGAGCCAAAAAGTTAGAAGCTTAAATCTGCTTCTATGAACATCCTCTGCAAGAAGCAGAAGATTATGCCATCTATGAACTCCCTCTGCAAGAAGCAATTTGAAACTGAATCAAAATTTAACAGCCACAATAAGAAACTAT